GTCACATCGTTGTTTCCTTTACTTCTCATACAAACCTCTTTTCTATTCATACAAACGCTTTAAACCATCAGTTCTCCTTACCGGACGCTAACATAAACTAACTGTATAATAACAGTTTAAATTCCGTTGTGCAAAAATTTATTTTCAAGAAATTATATCAGAGTCAAGGAGCGTGATACTGAACGTTATATGAGTTATGTGGAATACACACAGACGGACGGACGTGGAGACATCTCACTATAGTATAACACTTGATATCATTGTACATGTAGCGACGCTTACAATTATATTTATGTCCCAATGCATCATGTACATCGTAAAGTCACATGAGATGTAGCGTTTTGTTTGTCGAGTATCGAGGCCTCGCTCATAAATATAGTTTAGGTTCAATAGTAATAAAAACAGTAGCGTGTAACACACGACTTGTATATTAATTGTGCTCCAATACAATGACTGAGTCATGTGGTCGCTCATGCTCCCAATATCCAATGAAAGTACTGGCGCGGGCGGCGCATACCGGAACGTCCCTGCGGCGGTACCTACGTACAATGGTACATTAGTACAATAAAGGCTCATGATACATTACTGTTCACGGTTTATATGTACTCGATATACATGTTGTTGTACTGCACCTGTATAATACTTGTCAAAATATATTTATACAATAAGTGTGACTGACTATATTGTTACGTACAGCACAGTCCGTGAGGGTCGTGGACCTCTTTTATCTGACCCAGTCAATGTCATGCGAATGCGGGTCGACGACAAACATTTGCTCGATCGATAGTTAAATAACAAGAGTTACACACACACACCTTTAAGTCGTAATCCGTATCATATTAATAGCGATATTTACTACTCAACACATATACAATATACTTACATTAATTGTTACCAACACTCTGAGGTGGAATGGGTCTGAAATAAATTAAAAAGAAATGAATACATGATAGGTGTTTCTGAGAAGGAGACATGAGTTATCGGTAATGCTTTAATATTATTATATTATTGTGTCGGTGATGAATGTCCTTTGGTAGTCAGAGCGACCGCGACACAGTCATCACACGTGGAATGTTGTTCTGTTGTGCTAACATCGTTACTATAGGAATTATAAATATTACAGTTAATGTATTAACTTTAATTGCAACCATTTTCATTCATTACATATTGAATTTTTTTTTACATTCAATAGATTTTTTTTATTATTAAACTGTATCAAATGTATATTCTTATTATAAAAGTGAACAAACCCACAGGAATGACGTTAAACGTGTACATCATATTATGCCACTTACATCACGTTTATTAAAATATCATCAGTGTTACTTGGATATAAAGATTTATTTTATCACAATTCTTCAAGTATCATTTGATATAATGAATTTTCTTTACCGGCTATATATTTTAATGTAATTTTTTATTTCTTTTTCCCGACGTCTTGTCTAACGTTCAAAGTTTAATTCTATATCTTTAATGATCTTAAAATAAAATCTTAAAAGAATCTTTAGTGAATCAAATAACGAAAACGTTTGCAAAATTGGCAAGAGTTACTCGGTGTCTTTTACACATAAAAGTCTCACAACAGTGACACAAGAAAACTTTTGTAAGAGTGTGCCTTGCTCGTCTACAGATAACCTAAAATAAATTAATTTTGTAGTGAGCAAATTAAATAATAAGTATTCTTCTACAGTCTCTTTGCATCCCCTTTACAACGTATTTTAATATTATGCCTGCAGATCGTAAAAAAAAGAGCCCAAAGAAAAATGTTTTTGAAATTGAAAATACCTCCGTGGAATAAGTCTTTGAACGGGGTAGGCTGCAGTTGGTTGAATTCAACACCAAGGAGACACTGAGTTTTGTCGACTAATTTCACTGTATCTTCCAAATTAAAGAACATCTTCTTAAAAGTCGAAGTTTACATATCGCAAGAGTTTCAGTTCAAAAACAAAATCAATGAAAGGTAAATCTCAAAATAACTTCTAAAATACTTTGGAAGCTGAGTAGGGAAGACAGCAATTTCCAGACACTTTCTTGTCCTCCACATTACACAGATTCCTGCTATAAGAAGACTCCTTATATAACACTCATGACCTGGGTTTGTCCAGGGCCCCTTCATATCAGTTAGTTATTCGTTTGTACTTCTCTGTTATCTCCCATATGAGTTTTTCCATAAGTAAAAAATGATGTCTTTTGAAAGTCTTGTCCAGTTTTCTCTTACATAAATAAGAACAATTATAAACCCCCGAAAATAATATCCAGTGTTCATGACATACGTGGACGGCGGTAAACACTTTACATGAGACGGAACATCCGTAATTTTATAATTAAATTTTTACTTTTAAAACTCTAGTATAACTTGGTAATGAAATAATGATAATAATTATATACAATTGTATATTATATGGAAGGTTTTAAATGAGAACACTGGAATTGTCGATATTTATTTTAATCTCAGATATTTATTGCACACTAGTAGTAAGTTTATTGTGAGTTTCACTTTATAGAGCGTTACACAAGAAGCTGTTGGTATCCTGTATGTTACGTAGTTCCCAGTAGTTTTTCTTTTATCGGTAGCGGTGGTATGTATGTACGGCCACCTACCACCGGCCACGTACCGCGGACCGCTCCTGGCTGTGTTCGCGTTCAACTTCCGCGAATAACCATTTCACTTGCTACGTGTAGCAACTCACAATTAACACCTTCCACTGTCGACAAAAATACTCGCTTTATATATTACATCGTAACTTCCTCATTACTCTACAATTTAACGGCGATTATATTTTATTAACTAAACGTACATTTTATAATATACATTAAAACATTGATTCGTTTTTTGTAATCAATATTTGTAGTAATATAAACAAATATTTTAAGGATCCTCAATTTTTTTTTTTTTTTTTTTTTTTTTTTTTTTATTTAAACCAAAGGGGCAAGCGAGCAGACGGCCTGCCTGATGGTAAGCAGTCACCGTCGCCCATGGACATCTGCAACACAAGGGGTGTTGTAGATGCGTTGCCGGCCTTGTTTGTGAAGGAGCCACCTGAACACGTGATGTTTGAAAGACCCCATGTTGTAGCTCTCTGGAAAAGCCTCGGGCGGAAGATCATTCCACATCCTGCACGTGCGTGAAAAGAATGAACGCGACGCACGTACAGTCCTGCAACTGAATGCATCTAGATGATGTGGGTGAAATCCAACCCTACGCCGAGTAGTGCGATGGTGGAATGTGGACGATGGCACTACATCAAACAGTTCCTCGTTCGTTATTTTCCTAAAAGACATGTCTCAACATGTCTTTAAAAACTAATAACTAAATTATGTTTTAATAGTTGTTTGTAAGAGATCGAGAGTAACACCCCCCCCCCCCCCTCTTCCTTCACCCGCCAGTGATACAAAGAGGTTGTCATATGTAATAGAGTAGTGTGATTTACATGCAAGGTAACTCATTCATCAGTTGTCGTCTATTGAGTCATACAAACATTTCCTCAATAGTAACCGTATTTATGACTTTTCCATCATAGTATTATTCTTGTCTGTCGTCCTTCATCATGGCACGTCTTCGTTCCTTGTAAACCTTGTAGTCAATGACACTGTTCCTACCTACATATAACTGTACCTGTGTACGTATGAACCAGCGGTTTTTAAATATGACGTGCGGTCGGAGTGATTTATGATGGAAATAAATATTAATTTATAACTTAGGTTAACTATACAGGTGTCTAGAATATAAAAAATATAAAATACAATGTGACAATGAAGTGGTATTTGTAACCAATCTTTCAGTAAGAGTATTAACTCATAACGCAATTCCATTACTCGACGAAGAATAATAATATATGTTTTAGAGTGATATTCTTACTCCATCGCCTTAAATTTAACCGTTCGTCTATCGTGTGTCGTATGATCAAATGAAAAATTATTGTCCTTGTTGATTATCCAAATGATAAATGATAATTACATCGCGGTTTAATAAAACCAAACTATACTTGTTTAAACAGTGAATAAGATATCTGGTTCATTTTATATTGTTAATTTAACATTAGAAATACGGATTTACGAGTATTTTTAAAACTGCGGACGGACCCTATTGTATTATTTATATAAGTGGCGTATGATATGCCAGGAACGTTGTATTTGTTTACTCGTACATTATCTCCCGTGATCATTGAACATGTCTTTCGTGTTTTGATCATGTCCACGGTCCACGTGTGTCTGTTCCGATCATTTCCATATGTTCACGTAATGAGTTGATGATTCATCGTCATCATCACGTCCTGGAGCTGCTCGTCTGTAAACGAGACGTCACTGTGACACGAACAATATTATATGAAACAATCCATCTTATCATATGTTGAATGGACCGTGTGAGTGTAGTATGTCAGCGGAGGGTACGTATTAATGTAACTTCAACATTATTTATAATACAATGATGTAATGTACTGATAACGTCTGATTCGTCGCCGGCCCTCCGTTACAGATGTTGACATTCACAGACGGGACGCTCCAGCGACTCTGAAAACATCTCCTAACTAATTATGCAAACAGCGGAACGAACGCTTTTTACAGTCCTCATAGATAACCTACATTTATTTCCACAATTGAATTGCTAAGTTAACGAACGGTAATGTTGAATATCGCGGAAATGGAATGGAGTATAATGTTCGTTGTAATAGAATGAAAAATAAAATATAGCATTGTATAGACCACTTATTTTGTAACATATGAATAAGATTAATAAATCTTATACACATGTTAAGAGAAGAGTCTGCAAAATAGTCTAATTGATATATGTTATTTAGAAATCTGCACTAATTCATATCTATGTACATACATGATACATATAAGTATACAAACTCATTCACTGATCTTATAAACTTAGTTTCATTCGATTCTATTTTGTCGTTACGTAAAACAGTATGGAAGGTAAAATGTCATTACACAATGAACACAATAAAAAATATATTTATTCAACATATATTTGTGTGTAACATTATAATTGTTTAGTGTTTAGTGGAACGGTCCGGTGGTGGGGCTACAGTGGATGTGCAGCACTTGATAGAATAATACGAACCACGGGGCGAGGGGTGAGGGGGGACGATACGACCTTCATCACTCACACCGATCTGTTGTGGAACTACTCTTAACACACTACACCTCCTCTAGAGAAGGAATTTAAACTAGACCCGGTACATTTATACAAAAACTATTTACATACGACGAGTGTTCGGGTCACTTACGGTAGAATTCCATTGTATACTCGCTAATTGGTGACGACCTGCCGCGTGCCTCGCGCACGAGGTCCGCTGATGTCGGAACTTCCGCCTCACACCGGACATGACACTGCTGTCATTTATCAGATACATAGTTTTGTAATAGAGCGAATAAATTATATCGTCGTGTCCGACTTATACAGACCATCATCCCCACATCTAATTCTCATATTAGCGCAGAATATTCTTTGACAAAACCATTAAAAATAATTAATGAAACAGGAATCAAGGAGTATGTAGAGCTAGGATAGTCTTATAGTGGATTACTTTATTATATTTTGGATGCTATCGTTCCAGGAGGAGCGTTCGAGGGTGTGGAGGACCAGGTGTCTCCGTTCGGGTACGGGCGCGGGGAGGGCGTGGACGCCGGCCACGGGGACCCCGAGTGGATCTGCAGCAAGGAGAAGCCTCACTACGACCAGATCTTCCAGTCGCTAAACCCCATGGACGGGAAGGTGACCGGCGCCGGTACGTGTCCCACACACACACACACGCACTCCCCCCTCCTCGCACACACACACCCGCCGCCCTCCGTGATGCTCGAGTTGTCTCTACAGAGCCTGCTGTCCGCCGCTCACTGCTGTTCTCTTCTAACAGAGCTCAGCGTCCGCTCCCGTCGACACCACGCCGACCTCACCGACACTCACAAAATAACAGACACACTGTCCTTGGCCATTCAGAATTGTACTTCCATCTCACAGTTGCTTCTGAACGAGTCCTCGTCCAGCGTCGATGGCAGAGCGTCAGGAGCCGTTTCTATTCACAGTTTGCCAGACTCCTCGTCCTCTGACAGAGACAGCTGTACCGGTGAAGACTCTGACTCTGGCTCTGACACGAGCACAGAGTACACGGAGCTCACACCCCCGAGCGGTGCAGACAGCGAGCAGACAGCCCACTCTATACACTCGCCATTGTTTTGTGTGAAGTTTATTTGGCTATTGTTGCTCAATTTGTTAAGTATGTATGTTATAGCGGAAGCTCTCTTTATCGGCTCGTTGTACGCGCTGACGGGACGCACTTGTTTAGAGTTTTATATAGAGAAGCAGCCGCGCGGACTGTATGAGAATATTAAATGGTTCACGGTCGGTCTGCAGCGGGACCGAGTCCGGATAGACTCACTGTTTCAAATGTTCCATCCCCAAAATATAATATTTATTCTAAAGTATCTCCTCTCAAAGTTTGAATCTTCCGAGCTGTAGTTGTAATATATAATAATTCCCCTCCATGATCCGTCGCCACCCTCACTGACTGTCCGTCCGGTGTGTCAACAGCCGCCAAGACGGAGATGTTGAAGTCCAAGTTACCGAACAACGTGCTCGGGAAGATCTGGAAGCTGGCGGACATCGACAAGGACGGCTTCCTCGACGACGAGGAGTTCGCGCTGGCCATGCATCTGATACGAGTGAAGACGGACGGACACGACCTGCCCGCCGACCTGCCGCCGCACCTCGTGCCGCCCTCCAAGAGGAACTAGCGACCGCGCTCACCGCACACGCACTCACTGACTGACTGCTGTCCGCGCACACACACACACACACCCACACACACAGACAGACAGCGGGCGGCGGACAGCGGGTCGGTGAGATGATGAACATTCGGTAAACGTTATTTGTAACTCCAAGTACCCCATGATGATAGTAAACTCGGCTGCGACTGTTCTTATGAGTTTGTTCGAAGCGTTCTTGTTATTACGTTTTTAATGTTAGCTTTACGACTTAATTTATTATCGTTGCGAGACTCTTTGGTGCTTCAGAGATATAATTCTTATATTATGGCTACTTTATGAATTACAAATTATTTATCTTTTATATTGTAAGTACACACGTCGTCATACATATTGGTGCATTCTCTTCATGTTCATCGTAACGTTATCTTCTAAGTTGTTCCTATTAGTATTTTCTATCTAAATTAAAATAATTATCTTTTAATATTTTCCGAGCGATGACAATCCGGTCGTATCGTCTTCGTTTTATTTTTATAATTTCATTTATTTCGACGTAGCGTTCAGTGCCTTCTCCGATGTTTTATACGAGGGTCGGCTTGTTATATGTAGGTATTCCGTGTAGGGCCCCGCTAGCGCCCCGGGGGCTGCGGGCTCATAGTTGGAGGCTCTGTATGTAAATATGGTATTTTGATGATGTTTTGTAATGCACTGCGGCGTCTCCTGCTTATTGCGTGTACATAAACCAATAAACGAACGAACATGTAAGTGAATAATATGTAAATGTATTTATCATAAATTATACACGGAGTGTAATAAATAGTTAAGAAACTGTGTCTTGTTTTATTGAACCTCACTCGGTCATGTTGTCTACATCACACTATACTCCAGCCACATTCGATCTGGAATTTTAGTAAATAAACCATGAGTCATCATAATTAGGGTTGATACACTCTTAATAAAAAATAATTATTTTTATAATTACAACTATATTCATTATAAAATAATTTAATGTTTAAACACAAAAAATTTTATTTATATAGAATCCAAAAAAATTATTTAGCCGGTCAATGCATAATTTATATGAAAATTAGCTTAAAATAAGTTTAAAAATCTTTAATTACCAATATAATATTACTGCAAGACTGACAACCCTATATTTTAAAACTGACGTAAAGAAATCGCAGGTTCGCAACATTTTTAGTGTTTTTTTAAGCAATTGGCAGATTTAGGAAGGTATATAATAGTGATACAGTCTCTTCGTAATTGGTGGTGTATATTTTTAATCGTATTATCTATACTAATATTATAAAGCTGAAGAGTTTGTTTGTTTGAAAGAGCTAATCTCCGAAACTACTGGTTCGAATTGAATAATTCTTTTTGTGTTGGATAGTCCAGTTATCGAGGAAGGCTGTAGGCTATATAACATCACGCTACGACCAATAGGAGCAAAGATATAGTGGTAAATGTGTAAAAAACGGGAGAAATAATTTCATCTTTGAAGCCTTCCGTTGCGTGCGCCGTGAAAACGGTTCAAGATACACAAAAAATATGTATGAAAAAATAATAGCTCTTTTAATGATCTAAAAAACAGTCCACGACAGTATATGTCTATCTTATAAGATTAACTCACAAAAACCGTTTTTATGGTACCTAATTTGGTCGAAATAATTTGTTTAAGTTGTATCAACATATTAATTACATATTAATCTTTATTCAAATAAATATGTTGTTGGTTAAGAGTACTTCATTGAGAATAAAATTGTCTTTGACATAATTTCAACAAAAAACTTTAAAGATTACAATGATAAATAACTCCGAAACAAAACCAACTCGCTCTCTGCGCTGGCCGGCTCGGCGGGAGAGAGTAATATTACTTTTTAAACACAGTTTCATTTTGTAGTTGTTTTCTATATAGTAGGTACTTTATTTGTTTTAGGATAGTATTTAGTTACACAATAATAACACTTTTAAGCGTTGAGACGTATGGAGAGAATAATAGACTTTTCACTTGTTCAAGGAATGTTTTATTGAAAATATTTACAGTTATTTATACTAGAAAATTGATTACATATAGAATATGAATAACCAGCACATTAAAACAGGCGTTTTGATTGGTCGCCGCGCATACGGTTTCGTCTTATGTGCGCATGCGTTTAATCGGTATCACTGCGCATGCGTTAACCGTGGTTATATCTGTCACTCCAGCGAGGGCATCGGTCTTTTGGATCGCGCGCGCCGGGGAGTGACAACATCTTGAAAACGCTGCTAACTGAAGAAAAAGAAGACTACGTCGTGGCGAGGGGCCGGCATCGTGTCATCAGTGTGTTCCTGTTTCAACGATGAAAGCGTCACCAAATCCAGCGGCGAGAACGTCTTTATAAATACACTATTATTATTAATATGTGTACCTGTTTCAATGATGAAAGCGTCACCAAATCCAGCGGCGAGAACGTCTTTATAAATACACTATTATTATTAATATGTGTACCTGTTTCAACGATGAAAGCGTCGCCAAATCCATCGACGAGAACGTCTTTATAAATAAATAAACTATTGTTATTACTTCGTGTACGTGCTGCTACACACTTTTTTGTTTTCATATAGATTATTAATTTATAAGTATGTGTTTTCTATAAGTATCTATAGTATTGTTTGTTTTAAAAATAGTATTTAGTTTCTAATATATTTTTTTGTGCTACATAATACCTGTAGGTACCAAATAGGTGTCGCCTACTTAATTATTCTTATTAGATTAGGGTTTAGTTAATTGTTTTTAGTTTCTATTTTTTTTTTGCTTTAGATAAAACCTGTAAATAGGTGTGGTCTACCTATTTATTCTCATTAGATTAGGGTAAAATTTAATCATAAAGTTAGTTTACCTCATTTTCATTTTACGGTTGTTCTTTTGACATAATCGTTAAAAATAAAAGTAATTAGGTTCCTAATTAATAATCTTCTTAATCTTACATTTCTTTTTTTTATTACGAGATACGCTTTAGTTAAGTTTTAATTTTCTACGTTTTTTCTTCATCACTATAATGCCGAAAAAAAGAACTCAGCTTTCTCGGCAGACTGCTACAGCAAAGCGGCTACGAGTTTTGCGCAACAATGAAACTGAGGTTGAAAATATGCACAGGTTGGCTACACAACGAGCAATGACTGAACAAAACCGTGCAAGGGAATCAAGCGTTGAACGTTCGCAGCGTTTAGCTTCACAAAATTTCAGAACTTTGGCGAACCGGCAACGGGAATCGAGTGCTGATCGTTCTCAAGATCGGGTTGTGGCGAAAAACAATATGTTCTTCTGCCACAAGATAATAAAACAAAAAATGTAGTATATGCAGAAGTTCTTTAAAATAATTAAATGTACTTTAAAAATTGTACATTAATATAGTTTGGAACTCGAAAAAAAATTGGTTTTATCCTGAAAATTCTGCGGGAACTCGACCATTCCGAAAATCCCGCAAGAGTGGGAACTATGTGGGAAAAACCAAAAATCTGCCGGAAGCCAATATTCCACGCGGACGAAGTCGCGCGCAAAAGCTAGTTAATTATAATGGTAGTATAACCACAACAGGTTAAGAATGTTAACATTACACACAACGTTTCATTACACACAGATTTAAATATAGCACTATAATCACTGTTTCAACCACAGATATTTACAATTTCTTCTAATATATATATCAGATAAAATTTAAGAAATTTTATTGATTTACATTTTAATTAATTTAAAAAAATATTTTTTTAACGCAAATAAAGTTAAATGAAACGTAACTACGTAATTTTGTTGCGTTATAATATACGCCCGCCATAATGTTTGTTTTGTTTTGTTGTTAGCTTATGCTTACAATTCGCTAGTGTTTGATTCTGGTGTTCTTCCGTTCTGTTATTAATTGTTAGATTTCGTTATCGTTATTTAGTTTTAATTCGTTATTGTTATAAGTTTGTTGTTATCAAATATTGTTTATATTAGATTACGATGAGTAATACTGAATTACCTGGTCCGAGTGGGATTGGATCTGTAGCGAAATTTTCTTCGCCCAAGAAAAAATTCGCAAAGAAATCTGCCATGAACTCGTTAGAAAAAACTGTCCTCATCAATATTTATAAACTTGTCGAAGAAACTTGGCGCAAAAATGAGTATATATATCGAAAAGATCTTGCCAAAAAGACAGCGGAAACCGCCGGCGTTAGCTTGTCTACTGTTTATAATGTTTTGGCTGAGTATAAAAATGAAAAACGTGTGCAGTCGCCGACACCACCACCAAAACGCGTGACAAAAATTGATTTATTAGACGAAATAGACCTCAGTGGCATAAGAAGAAAGTTCCAAGAGTTTTTTTTTGGAAATGAACCACCGTCATTATCCCAAGTGTTATAGGCTGTTAACGACGATGAAACTCTTCCAAATTTTAAGAGAACAATTTTTAAAAAACTAATGAAAAAATGGGATATTAAATACTTGTGAAGGTCAAGAAAAAGCATGTTAATTGAAAAGTCAGATATTGTCCGATGGAGATTTGATTATTTAACAAAAATCATCGAGTTCCGTGAAGAAAAACGAAAAATATACTATCTCGATGAAACATGGCTTAACGAAGGTATAGTATTTGTTGAGACTTTTATGTAGCCTTTTCCTTTATAATAGATTTGTATTTTCATTTCATATTTAACAACTTTAATCTTGTTTTTTAAGACACACAAGATCAAAAGTATGGCAAGATATAAGTGTGCAGTCCAGTCGGGAAGCTCATAGAGAAGGCCTGTCTACGGAACTAACAGACCCAACAGGAAAAGGAAAACATCTGATAATAATTGGTAAATATGTAACAATATTAATTGATTTTGTTTAGATTTAAAATATATTACTCTATAATAAATGTTTATATTTTTTACAGGAAGTGACGATGGATTTTTAAATGGTGGAAAATTAATTTTTGAAAGTAAGAAAGGGGTAGGTGATTATCATCAAGAGATGAATTCAAAAATTTTTGAAGATTGGTTTATAAAAATAATAAATAAAATTGAGCCAAACTCAATTGTTGTGATGGACAATGCAACATACCACTCAAGACGACCTGAAAGAGTTCCAACAATGGTATGGTTGAAAACAGATATCCAAAAATGGCTAAATGAAAAAGGAATCCCCTTTGACACAAATATGTTAAAAAGAAATTTAATTGATATACCTAGTTAAAAAAGAAAGAAATAACTATATGGCATATGCAATAGACACATATGCAAAAAATTATAATATTGAAATACTAAGATTGCCCCCATATCACTGTGAATTATATCCGATTGAAATGATATGGGGCAAGTAAAAGGCTATGTCGCAGGGAAAACAAAAGGTTTAAAATAGCAGATGTAAAAATATTGCTTAGAGAGGTGATGGATTTGATTACACCTGTGACATGGCCAAAATGTATTGGGCATGTCATAAAAGACAAATTAAAAATGGCACAACTTGACTACTTAAGTGATACAGTTGCCAACCAATTTATAATACATGTTACTGAGGATAGCACAACATCAACTTCTACCAGTAGTGCCGATAGTGACTAATGTTTTAAAATATAAACATTTAATAAAAATATTTCTTCCAGCAAATTTAGTTTTATTGTTAATATAAGTTTTGTAATTATTTATACCTTCCATATAAAAATATATAAAATATTAAATATAAAAATAATAATAATGACAATTTATATTTAATAATATACTATCATATCATTTCAATTAAACATTTAACTACTATGATACTATGAAACGTCGTTACTAATTATCTTGACTGTGTAAATCTACAAAATGACCTTACTACCTTGTCCAAATGGTGTCAAGTAAATAAAATGAATTTAAATATTAAAAAATGCTTTGTTATTTTTTTTACAAAAAAACGTCATAAAATATCGTATTAGTACAAATTGCAGGGCCAGGTAATCGCTCGACAATCAGTTGCTAAAGATCTTGGTATACTTTTTGATGACCAATTAACTTTTCGCGATCGTTATAATAATATTACCACCAAAGCTTTAAAAAATTTAGGTTTCATAATACATACAACGAAAATTTCTTAAAGTATTAACTTATCGAAACAATCGCCATAGACAAATTAAAAGCTACAAAGATCGTCTAATAGAATACAATATGACCCCATTAAGTACTCGTCGACAGCAGCAGGATTTGATCACACTCCACAAAATCATACACTCAAATTTGGATTCTTCTGCTTTGCTCGAGAACGTAAATATTAATACGAGGTACAACTGCCGCAAGCCAAAAACATTTTCTTTAAAAGTTTTTAAAAACAATACTTTTTATAATCCGGTTATCAGAATGTGCCGCCTTTATAATGAAATAAATAATAATAATAATCATGAAATTGATATTTTTAACACAAATTAAGCGATCTTTGTAAAAACTGTAAAAAAATGTCTATCTTAAAAATGCAATCTTGTAAATTTAAAAAACTGTAATTATTAACAATTTATATTTCTTTTGTATTTTTTTGCAACTTCAAACACAAATTGTTTATTATACCATTTATTTTTCTTCTTGTAAATTTAATTCGTGTAACTTTATTTTTGTCTTTTTTTTGTTTAGTACTAATATATATGTAGTTATCTCCTGTATAATAATACATTGGCAATTCCGTCATGTTGTGCATGCACCCTTAGGGTCATAATCTGTTCGATTCTATTAATGTTTAAGAAATATTCTGTATGAGATTGTGACCTGTTGTGTTTGCCTTAATAAATAAATAAATAAACAAAGTAATTATGATAGAATTAATATTAAATGATTTATAAGACGCTATTAATTATAATCATAATAAATATTGTATTTATATTTATATGTAATACACTACCAACAAACATTGCTTTTTTCCAGTATTAGAGCAATTGTAATCTCGAACCTCCTATTGACCCATTCAAATATACATAAAATTTAATCTAAATGAGTCCTGTCGTTTGGGAGGTGATAGATAAAGTTAATAAAGCGAATTATATAACTACGAGGTAATTTCGGTTATCATTTAAAAATTGGAGGTATTTTTTTTGACATCTACATTATTTCAGATGATCATAAGTATTATAATTATAACCAAAAATTAGTCCTTTGTCTTAAATATTTTATTATTAATCATCAATTTTAATTTTCATTAACATCAAAAATAATTGTTGTACATATTTCTAAAAATGTTTTGAGCATCTGTCTGACGTTGGTTACTAAGCAACGCTTTGTTATTAAACATTCTACACTACACTACACTTGGTGTTCTTAACCCTGTCTTCCTGAACACCACACATTACATCTGTCAGCCGGGGGCCCACCTGCTCTCTCTAGGGAATGTGACAGTTCTTCCTTCAAGACACACACACACAGAACACCCAATGCATAATAGAAAGTAGTTACAGATAAATTTTACATGTTATCTTGTTTCAGGTTTACAAAAAATGTAGGATTCCATATTAATTAATTTCTAATCTAAAATACCACATTCACTTTCTTTGTAAATAAAACATGTTTTTAAATTTGAAGTATTTGTTAGACAAATAACAATCAATATAATAGTGATAGTGCATGTTGAAGTCATGAAAAAAAACCATTAAAATATTTTCAAAAATGTTTATTATTAAAACCAATTATTTAAATCTTAGCTAGAATCATTTTGGTTACCTACAGACGGAGACCAATTCTCCAATCACTATTATTTTTAATTTTCTTTCTCTTTTCTAAATGTGTTACACAGGTTAGCCCGGTATCTTACATGAGCAACCATAGCACAGATTAACTGTTTCACATTCATAATGGAAGAAGAAGATTCAAACCCTTTGTACTCTGTTCCAGACAGAAAACCTGTTTTTCGTTGGGACCGACATCTGCAATCAGCCCTCCATAGGGGAGAGATTGATTATCTATTCAAGAACTGGGACAACCATGCCGGATTGAAGAAAGAGCATATCTCACTCAAGCGAGACACAGAAGATGTTATATTTCTACATTCAGACCAGTATATACATTGGGCCTTCCTTCATGTAAGCAATACATCCACCAGTGCTATGAAGGGGGGTACTGGGGGGAGAAGACAAACAAGCCATGGATAACTCATATGTTTAGCAACATAATGTTCTCGAAGACCCTGGAATTTGACTACCAGATTTACACAGCTGACCTCCTGGCAGACAAAGCCATAATACCAAGTCCGCCACATTGGCCACGGGAGTATGACAGTCAAGCCCACCGCACCCTTCACAGCCGATTCCCTACAGCACCCCCTAGAGAGAGCAATAATGTCATTATGCAGTATCTCTCTAGGGACAAGGTGAATGTTCGAGACATAATAAGCACAGTCTCACAAGACAGGATACCGAGGGACTGGAAGGTCACGGTCGGAGTTGCAAAGGAGCGTGAGATGAAGAAACGGAAGGCAAGATTCTTTGGGAAGCTGGTGCTAGAGATGCGACTATTCCAGGTTGCTACTGAGAACAACATAAAACACGTATTCAAATTTATACCACACCAGACTATGACCAAAACCGAGGATGACCTATTTAAGCACCTACTGAAGATATCCGAGATGTCGTCGACAGAGGACCGCAGTGCTGTCTTTATGTCAATGGACTTCTCAAGCTGGTGCACCAGATTTCGTTATGAGGGAGTAACCCCCTTATTTGAGGAATTAGATAGGTTGTTGGGAGTTAATAATGTCATGGCTTATACCCAGAAATTCCCTCTGGAATCATCTTCCTATTTCAAGACCGGTTCTGCCTACCTCGTTAGGGGGACGATGGCCTGCCGAGCAGCAGTCCCAGATGATTCTATGGGCCAGAGGCCTGGATGGAAGGGTTGAGGTAGAAGGGCTGGACCTTGGCCACTCTCCTTCTTATCCTGGTGGCGTTGTGGAGGTGCGGTACAATAGCTACCCTTACAGGCCAGGGTGACAACCAGGTGATATATCTCAGACTCCCCAATACTACAACTCTAGAGGGGCTGAGGATGACCAAGAACCAATACATCAAGTAGTTCCAAGAGAGGTATCTTACATGAACACTCTTCTGTTCCCACACTTTACTATAAAATTTATTACCTAACTACTGATCTGTGTCACCTCAACATCTCTCATCAATAACATTGTTTAATTATAATAATTCTTCTTAAATAAAACTTTATCCCAAAATAAAATTTCGTTATTGAATATTAACTCTGTCGATCTAGAAGGGATCGAGTGCACAAACTAAATATATAACAATAAACATGTTTTAAAATAACCACACAATATAATTTCTTGTCTTAGATATATAAATATGGAAATAGGTCACAGCCAGTGTAGCTGTGTGAGAGGCGAGGCTGTGGTTCACTGTGTGTGTGGCGGCTGGTTGCCGGGCGGGCCGGGCGGGCGCACCTGTCGTCTCAGCTGCTCCACCAGCTCGGGGTTGGCCGCCTGCATCTGTTGCGCCAGCGCCTGCCCCGCCTCCAACAGGGAGGGAGCCAGCGCGGCGTCCGACCCCAGCAGACCTCCCAGTCCGCCGCCGGCGCCCGCCGTGTTGGCCGTCATCAGACCCGAGATGAGATGCTGCATGTTGGGGTCCGAGAGCATCTCGGTGGCCATGTTGAGGAGCGCCGGGTTCTGCAGCAGCCCGCCCAGGTCGAGCGGCGGCCGTTCCCCGCGCTCGGCCAGCCTCTCCTCCGCCATCTTGAGGTTCTCCTTGTAACTGTCGTTGTCCGGTTCCAGCTGCACGGCGCGGGCGAAGGCGTTGCGCGCCTCCGTGTGCCTGTCGAGCGCCGTGAGAGCGATACCCAGTCGTCCGTAGGCCTTGCCGTAGTTGGGTTGCAGCGCCAGGGCAGCCATGGCGTCGGCTACTGCGGACTCGTGTTCCCCGAGTTTGAAATGTGCCGCCGCTCGGTTGCAGAAGAAAACAGAGTTCTGAGGATCGAGTTCGATGGCACGGCTGTACTTTTCCAGGGCTTCCTTGTGACGCTCGGCTTTCATGAACTCGTTACCTTCGTTCTTTAGTTTTTCAGCTTCTACGCGATCGGCCGGAGTAGCTCCGCCTTTTTGTTTTTTTACGAGCTGGAGAAGGTCGACGCCTTTGGATAGTTCTTCTGGAGTCAATTCGAATGCGGTTTCGATGCATTGTACGCCAACTTCCACGCTCTCTCTCGAGTCGGCACTTAGCGAGTCGCTTTCGAGCTGTTGTTTTAAGAAATTTATTATGCTCGCCGCGACTATTTTTATTTCTGACATTTTAATATCTTTGAATATCGTAAAATAAACAGTATAGAATCAAAACCCAATTAATTTCCTGAAATATTTCTTGGATCTGACGAAAGTTAATTCCTCAACTCTAATATGACAAGTCATTGACAAATGACAATTGACACTTCAAGCGATAGATAAATTAAAAAAATAGATAAGTGCTAGAAAAATGAAATAAATCTAATTCGCGTCATATCATTAGTATCATAGACGTAATAAACATAATATGTTACACATATACTTATGTGATCCGCTATAAAAACACAGAACTTAAAAACTTTTCGAAAACATATTCATCATTTATTAGAAATACCTACTGGAATAAAGTTAGTGATGATTATAATGACCACTTATTTCCTCGTGTTTCTATCGTTAAGAATATACTTTGAAATCTCATAATTGAAGGTTTGTGTTGATCAATGTCATTCGGGACTACTCTACTCTCTCGCTAGGTACATAAATAAGCAAAACAATATTAATAATATTCATATGATTTTTTAATAGCTTTAATAAAAAATAATATTAAATGCTGAGTAATAATATGAATGGAACTTATTTTTTTAATTACAAATATTATATTATTTATTTTTATAATTAGGTGACTATTACAAATTTATCTTACAAATCCGGGCTGCGCTAAGTAAAATTATTTTTGACGAGCTTAATTTGCAAAAATGTCATATACCAGGTACGCTCTAAAGTTCGTGCTTAGGTAAGAAACTATTGGTTCATTCATAATTCAACGTTTAAATAATTGTAATTTTCATATTCAAGACTAATATTTTACTTTCTTTATTTTTTTATCAATATTATGTTTATTTATTACAATCTCTTAGCAAAGCTACCTTCATATTATTAGATTTCTTTTTGGACGCTTATGTAAGTAGATGTTTATAATAAAGTTTTACTATATCTCGTTTATGAGTTTCTTTTTTCAATGTGTTGGCCCTGTCTGACTAGCTCAAAAGTAAACAAAGAATGTTCGATAGTTTTGAAGAAAAGATTTATAAATAATTACAAGTTAAAGATAAAGTTGAGAAGGTAATACTTATACGTTCGTTTGGGGTTTCTAAATTATCCACTCATCATATTATATATTAATAGTAAATAAACAAACAAACAATTTTATTTGCAAATTATAATCTGTTAAAAATGTTTAAAATATTAATATTTTATTGTTAATAAAGAATAAGGGAACTCTTGTATTGTAAGTGGAAATAATATAGATGTTGGTAATAAGTATCCGGCGTATGATGTCTATCGGCTATATGCTCCTAGCAATGTATCAATGGTCACCTGGTTTAGTCTTTCATAGAAGCGTCAGTGTTCAATTGCTTCGAGATTTGAATATTTTTATTTAGTTATTTGTATTAACAAACTAATACCTAGTTACCGAGCTTTGCTCGGTATTAAGGTGTTTTAAGTATTTATTTTGTGTTTTTTATTTTATTTCGTGTAGGCATTTTTAAATGAACACGTTAAGAAGACACAAAACAATATAAATCAACAATTAATTTCTTAGTCTAACCTCCAAACAAACACTCAATGACTTTCTGTTACTTAGCAACGCCTTCTGCTGTTGTGTCGTTTAATCCACCTACCACTACCATAAACCAACTATTTTTGTCCTTTAACCACTTACGTGCGGTCACAGAGACCGCTCAAAAATTTCTGCGATTATTTTGGGACCTATGATAAGAAAGTAAAGTTTAGTTAAATAAAATACATGGCTATATTTAATTGCTTTACTTATGCGTCACAAATTAACAAAAGTACAGTGTAAACTCCATGTAGTCGATTTAACGACAAACTCTCTAAAGCGTCAAAACCATTTGACTTTGGTTGCTTTAGCTTGTCTACCATACAATGATACACTCTACATAGCATCACACACACTCTCAATAAGGACAACAATTAAGTAATAAAAAGTACCTTTTAAGTTGTTAAAATTAGTAAAAACTGCGCAGCTGTGTACATTCTTTTGTCGCTTTGCAATCCTAGCCCGCAATAAACTCGACTGTCGGAATCATACATACCGAACTTTCTAAGAAATTCGTTCTTCACCAAGATGCCTCAATATCGCAAGATATGAATAAAATAAGTAAAAAAATACAACAACATTACTGGTGCTGCAAAAGACGTCAAACAAAAATAACAGACTATACGCAATAGCGTTCGAATAACATTCTTTTTTATGTACATAAGTACTAACACTAGTCTGAAATAAACTTTGTCTTTTTCTAATTCTGATTTTTCTTCTCTCTATTTAATGACAACTCTCTATAACGCCATAAAATGCACAGTCCCTTCAGTGTCGTTATATAGAGTTTACACTGTAATTAAAATATTTTATAAAAATGGAATAATATCTTTGATATAATTATAAGGAATATGGCACCATAAACAACTATATTAAGAAAATAAGATCTTTATTCTAGAATACTAAAATTTTCAATCTTTATTTTATTTCTTTTAATTTGAATAAACTTAAAATAGTCAAATAAAACAACGAAACAAAAAAAAAATTAAACGAAATTGCATCGCCATAATTTTTACATTTTTTCGTAGCAGTAACGACACATTTTTACAAAAATTCCAAAGAAATAGGTAGTTTACATACAAAACATAGGTTAAAGCCGTTTTGTGTTTCTTTTTATATCATACGTATTGTATTTTGATTTCATTATGTAGTCTAATTATTTGTGTGTAGTAAAATTTTGTCCAAAATCTCATCCTTAAATAAGAGAGAAACTCCAAATATCAGGTGGTCTCGTAAAATTATTAAGAATATTCACTTAGGTGGTTAAGGGTTAAACAATTATTAAAAGCAATAAGCAAAAGGTAGTATTACTATTCACCAATAGATGTCATGAGGAGTCATATTTTAAATGCCTCCTTTTTGTTATTTTTTTTTCTAAAAATTATTCTAAGCTAGATCGATTTATCGCCCCCGAAACCCTCTATATACAAAATTTCATGAAAATCGTTGAAGCCGATTCCGAGATCCCAATTATATCTTTATATATACAAGAATTGCTCATTGAAATATATAAGATTTGTCACCTGTTAATTTTTGAAAAGAAACATTACATTGAGTAATTTGTTTAGGAACAATTGACTTAACTCTTCTTGATGAGAATTCGTTACCAGACCATTAGAAAAGTCATGCAGTAAATTATGAAAATAAAAACATTATCTGAAGGACGGAGCTGGACTTGGTCTACTACCGACCACCGACAGAAGAACAGAGGAGTTGGTAATTATATTGAAACTGTACAAACAGTGAAGACGGAGTAGATCAGTTTAGACATCGAGAAATAGAGTTATTTCAGGAGGGATTCAGTTTTTATAAGATATTTAATAAAGGATAAAAAAAAGTACAAAACTATAAATAACGGTTTTTTATTAGTTAATATTATGCATATAATAATCTTATGTTATCTATATAATGTTACATTAAAATACACTTACTGCTAATGATGTTTTGCGGTAATGAGTAAGTTTGAGAATTTGTTATGAATTTTATGAAAAAATAAAAACATTAAAATAGCACGTATCATTGAAGATCACCATGATTTAAAGGGAAAGTAACTTCTGATGTAGTGAGACATGAATGAGTGTGTGAGTCAGCATTGTAGCTCTGCCCAGTGATGATGGTCGGGCGGCGTGGTGTGTAACAGACAGGGCCAGTCCCGCAGGCGCCGCGACCGACAGTACACGTCCCGGAGCAGCGCCCGCGAGCCGCCGTCCGCCGCGCCCGCCAGCGACCCGCCCGACCACGACACCGAGCTGTCCGGACACGGCGCGCGGTGGAACGAGAACTGGAGCGAGTGCAGCGAACTCCTGCAACACACATGACACCTGACACGCCGCAGACACCGACACCGACCAGTGGGACGCGACCCTCCTACCTGTAGGGCGGCAGCGTGACCAGGTGCCTCAGCTCGGCGGCCAGGCGCGCCTTGAGCCCGGTGAGCGCCGCGCCGCCGCCCGTCACCAGCACGTTGGCGGCCAGCTCGCGCCGCGCGTCGATGGGACACTGTGAACACGGACACTACGGTCAGCGCCGCGCGGACCTCCACAGTCGACACAGTAATAATAATAATAATTTATTTATTAACACCCATGAAATAATGTACATAATTTGTTTTTAGCTTAATAACTAAATCTAGGGTTATTACATTGTCATCTTTTGTAGTATACCTCTGACTGTAAAACTAATATAAATTGTGATATTAGAGTCAGAGCTTCCTTAACAATTAATTGTGAAGTAGATTTTTAGAAACGGAATGATTTTAAAGGTGTTGTAAAAAAAAACAAAAGTTTATATAACAAGAAATGAAGAGAAAAAGAAAAGAAAAACAAACAATTTAATCAACTTAAAAATAGTTTGTATGTGAATGTGTGTGTGTGTGTGTGTGTGAGCGTGTGCTTATTTAATATATACCTACTTATAATTGTTAACATCATGCCTATAATTTATTTGATTTATTCCAAAAGATTTTCAGTTTCAAGGTATGACAATTTCAGAAGACAAGCAGTGGTTTTCTGTTTGACTTCAAATCTATTATGGGTATACCCATACTTCTATATATATATAGAAGTAATCTTATGAATAGTATTGTAAAGCTTCGCAGAGAGGGGGGCAAATTGATGCTTTGCGAATGTAGTTTTACATTTAACAGTTGGACATATATAGCTATGCGCACAGCGTCTTGTAAGAATAGGTGGGTAGGGTAGGGCGGCATGTATCCGCAGAATAGTCCGAAGAATATAAAGTTGCCTGGCAGTTAAAACTTGGCACTCTGAAAACAGCTGGGCTGTAGGGTACCTGATATGTTTATGGGTCATTATTTTCAAAACAGTGTCACGACACTCGGCCGACCTGCAGGATACACTTGAGCACGAGGTCGGGTAGCGACGCCATCTCGTTGTCTCTAAGGAACAGGACCTCCGCGGCTCGCTCCCTCGCCCGTCCGCCCACAGTCAGCACCCTCTCCGGGCCGGTGACACACACCGCGCGCGCCTCCACCGTCCCCGGCTGGTCGAGCGTGAGGGCGCGCGCTCTGCCCGGCACGAAGCAGGCCCTCACGCGGATGTCCTCGAGCACGTGCTCCGTCAGTCGGAGCGTGTCCCCGTGCTGCTCGTCCAACAGACGGGCGAGCTCCGCGGACACGGCGCCCGCTCCCAGCGGACCGCTCTGGATGGCGTGGATGACGGGGCTGCCGTGGACCACTGCTCACAAACGATACGTCATTATTGTTACACGCCTCACACTACACTCTACAGCTGCTTATCTCCTGACATGTGTCTCTATATATATTAGAATGTTAAAGAATGCAGTCCAAATCTCACTACCCTCCTTGGACCATTTTTAAAGCCATAAAAGCTTATATATGCGTATAAGGAAAACAATGTATCTCAAATCATATCTTATTCTAGGATTCAAAGTTGCTATTATATTTTATTTTAACTTATAAATGTTTATTTTTATATATCTTCAAAATTGAAACAAATTTTTAATTACTCATGTTAATTAAGAAAAATTTTATATTATTGCCTGTATTATGTAGGCTATGAAGATTTAGGTCGAGCACAGGAGAAAATATAAAAAAAGACTATAACATTTATTGATATAGCAAGAATATTTAAGAAGTGTTCAAATTATAATTTCTGTATTAATAAATAAGTAAGTCATCTCCTCACCAGCCACCACCTCAGCATCGAGTGCTCCAATGTTCACAACAAGTGTGATGTTAGTGCCGAGTGTGAGGGCACACAGACGAGCACTGTCCGCCCACATCACACCCGACACCTGACACACAACACAACATAATACTTGTTACAAGCTAATACTGACATGATTCATTCAACACTAGTTAGCTTTTATCTTCTCCTGAATAATTATCACAAGAACAAGTTTGACAAAGAGTGTATCATATAATTAATTTTAGTAAGCTTAGATTTGTATCACAGGTTTAAAAATTTATAAATATGTCTTCCAATAATATAAATATTTTATTTGAAATGGAATCAAAGTTATTGAAACCATGACAAATGGATAGTTTACCATGGGAAGTTAAGAGATGCATATAGCAGCTAAAATAAGAATAGGAATAAATAAGAGTTTAACAAAACCAATACCTCATAATGCATGAACAGCACTTTGGCGAGAGTTTCTCTAAAGAGTGTAGGAGTTAGAAGAGACTCCACTACTACTACCTTACGCTCCTTGGGATTCACTAGGACATGTCTGTAACGTAGATATGAATGAATTTAAATTTCTTTTTGTTTTCTAATATTTCTTTATTTTTCTTATAAAAAAGATAAATAAGAACAATAACAAAGTGTTCCTTATAATTCTTCAGTAAAATTGACTTAATTTTTTGGAAGTGTCACTTTAAACAGGGTAACAACATACAGAATTTATTTTTGAAACATACCTAAAATACAGTAGATGCAGCATATGTACAAGGTTCTCATACAATTCATCTTCATCTTTGTAATCATACACTCTCTTGTAACGCTTTTCATCTGGGCTCCAAAAACTTGAGGGAATGATACATCGTGGTGCCGCCTCTCCCGTAAAACCGAATCTGTTGATGTTGATTAACAAAAGCGTAGGATAAACAGGATTATGGTTAAAATCTTGCGATACTATTTGTTATTTATGTATATATTTACAACTCATATAAATGCTACAATTCAGTTATACCAACGACGTATCATTTGTAGATAACTTTAGTAATTATACGTTCAAGATATTTGCGATAATGATATCATAACTTACTTGGTATAGTCATGACCAAGATCCAAAACCACTGCTTGCTTTTCTTGAATAAGAGCGATCCCTTCGTAAAGGGCCATAGTGTTACATAAATAATAAACGTTAATCTACAATACCATCTTCTAATATTCCGGATATATTTATTATCTAAACTAAAGTACTAAAACGTGGAAGTAAGAAAACATTCAATAAATTTATGAGTCTAGACCTTTTTCTTTTGACAGTTAAGTGTTAACCGGGAATTGACGTTTAACATTACTGATTTCATAGTTCACGACTGACAAACTGTTGTCAAGTGTTTTTCGTTTATATAATACATAAAATATTTTATTAAAATTTAAAAATCTCCATTTAATTTAATTTTAATTTTACCAATGTAATAAGAAGCCAAAAATGCTTTGCGTAATTTTAGAAAAAAGAGATGATTCTCTTACACTTCTAAATTGATATAAACCAAATGTAGCTAAAAATCATAAAAAAAAATTGGTTTCAAAAGACTAGTACCGAATCCATCTGAGAGCTACTTTGCTACTGACAGATACACACACATACTAACAGACAGGAACATTAAAGCCAAAGCACTTGTCTCTTTGCATAATGTGCTTAGGCATTAAGGGATTTAGTGTTAAGCTACACTTTTGACTAATATTTGTATTCACTCTTTAAAACAAATTACAATTTTCAATTAATAATACTAATAATAATAATAACTTTTTTATTTCAAGTGACTATGACTCATTTTATTGTTAGTGATACATATTACTTATCTCCTATGTTAGTATAATAAATTAATTAAACAGAAAATAAAAAAAATAAAAAAAAAACTATCACTAACTTGTAATCGTGGTAGTAATTGCTGAACTAATCTGCTCGAAATAGCACAGCAATGACTAACATACTTACAGTCTAACCTGCTAGCAATTGCCTTCATGATGTTGTTGGGACTATCCCGCAATCTGTACACCAAGGATCCGCATCTTTTGCGTATAATGGCATAAAAGCAATCGACCCTCGCTGCCGCGAACATCCCTGATTCACTACAATGGCGGGGCAATCCCATCAGCACTCTAAAGGCATTGTTATTTGGCCCACAGATTGCACGTGTAGAAGGTGGTACAATAGGCTCTAAACAGTGTAAGCTTAACTTCGCTCGAACAACGTACAAATCTGCGGGCCAACATATTCGCCCGTAAAGACAACGCCCTCCGTTCCCTCTCGATGTCAGTGTCATCCTTGAGGTCGGGTGTCAAGATGTGTCCTAAATATTTGAATTTATATACCCTTTACCAGACAAGTGCCATTGAGCACAATGGGTGGTATTGTATTCTCTATTTTATCTTCGGCCTCAAAGATGCGTTTTTATAAATTTCGATGTTTTTTTTTTAATTATTTGTAGACCATAAAAACTAGGAGAAGTAAGTACTTTTTTTTTTTTTTGTTAGGACCTGTGAGTGTGGAGACGCTTAAATTTCAGGTTAACGAAATGGTTAAATTTCAAGGTTCACGTTGTTCTTAAGAGAAATCATAAATTTGTGTTATTAGTTGGTGTATTCTATGATAATGCTATCTAAGGTTTTCGCTAGTACTTCGCCAGCCAACTAAAGGAGGTAATCGCAGACACGGCCAAAATCGCGAGGCCATTGAAGTGCGTGACTCTGGAAGTGACCGATCTTGATGATTCGGTCACCCAAGAGGAGGTCGTGGCCGCAGTTGCGGCGTTGGGGGGCTGCGACATCGCAGCGATTAAGGGCCGCGCCATCAGACCTGGCCGTGGGGGCATGGGCAGCTTGCGACTGGAGTGCCCAGTCATGGCTGCAAAGGCAGTTCTGGCAAAGGGACGCCTCCCGGTTGGTTTCAGCTCGGCTGGTGTCCGGGCTCTTGAGGACGAGCCGATGCGCTGCTACAAGTGCTTCGGCATCGGCCACACCCGGGCCCTTTGTCCGTCCGCTGCGGAGCGTACAGACCTGTGCTTCCGCTGCGGCAAGGGGGGGCACAGGTCCACCGCCTGCGAGGCCACCAAGCCGCACTGTGCCGTGTGCGCTGACAGTGGTCGGCCAGCCGACCACATTATGACGGGGAGGAAATGTCGTCCTCCCCTAAAGAAAGGGAAAGCGCAGGTGACCACACGACCTGCTGCTGCCGCCGTCACTGCGATCCCAGTCCCAGTGCCGACAACCGAGGGGAGTGCGATGAACACCGACTAATGACTGGGCTTCATCGCATTCTCCAGGCGAACATCAACCACTGCAAAGCGGCCCAGGACCTGCTGGTCCAAACCTTTGCCGAGTGGTTGGTGGACGTGGCGGTTGTCGCCGAGCCTTACTCAGTCCCTGGCACATGGCTAGGAGACGAGAACGGCTCGGTGGCGTTGGTTGCGCGGTCTTCCACAGACTCCCCCCCCATCTCGCTCTTAGAGAAGGGGCCGGGATACGTGGCCGCTGCATGGGGAGACATAGCCTTAATAGGGGTTTATTTCTCCCCCAACCGCCCTCTTACGGACTTCGAGAACTTCCTCGGCGTCCTCGCCATGGTGGCCGGCAGAGCAGCGCAACGCCGGGTCTTGGTGGTGGGCGACTTCAACGCCAAGTCGGTGGCATGGGGTAGCCCACGCACGGACGCACGGGGACGCGAGGTAGAGTCGTGGTCGGTGACGTCAGGTCTGTCCCTCCTGAATAGAGGGACAGTACACACCTGCGTGCGGCGACAGGGGGGCTCCATAGTGGACCTCGCCTTCGCCGCCCCTTCCTTGGCGGCCTGTGTCGTGAACTGGCGGGTGGAGCTGGTAGAGACTCTATCGGACCACCGATATGTGCGGTTCGATGTCTCCACCCAGGACTCCCAGGGGAACCGTGCTGGGGCCCAGTCACCATTCCCGCGGTGGGGGCGCTCACCCGTTTGGACCAGGGGGCCGCCAAGGAGGCGGCCTTCGTCCAGGACTGGCTCACACCGCCAGTCGACGTTCAGGACGTGGACGCCGCGGCAGCTCAACTAAGAGCCTCCTTGACCGAGGTGTGCAATTCCAGTATGCCTCGGTCCCATCGTCCACCTCCGCGACGCGCCGTTTATTGGTGGTCGGAGGAGTTGGCTGCTCTCCGGGCCATCTGTGTGGCGGCCAGGCGGGAGTACACGAGGAGCCGGCGGCGGCGCACCCGTGATCTAGCCAACGAGGATCGTCTCTACGCATCATACGTAGAGGCGAAGACCGTCCTCAAAGCGAGAATCGCCGCCGCCCTGGACCACGCGAGGTCGGAAATGTTGGAGAGTCTCGACAACGATCCTTTCGGGAGACCGTACAAGGCGGCGCGGAAGAAGCTGCGTCCTTACGGTCCCCCAGTTGCCGAGACCCTCGAACCAACGCTGTTGGATGGGGTGGTACAGTCCCTGTTTCCCCGCAGGGACAGGTTCACCCCCCCGGCAATGAGCCGGCCGCGCGGTGAGGCTCCATCAGTGGACGAAGTGCCTCTTGTTACGGAGGAGGAGTTGGAGGAAGCAATGGCCCGCCTCCGTAAGAAGAAGACGGCCCCAGGGCCGGACGGCGTCCCCGCGAGGGTGGTGGCCATCGCCGCTTCCCGGATGGGTCCACGATTTCGGGACCTTTTCGGAGCGTGCCTGGCGTCGAAGAGGTTCCCGAATATATGGAAGGAGGGCCAATTGTGCCTTCTACGTAAGGAAGGTCGGCCGGTGGACTCCCCGTCCGCTTACCGACCCATCGTCTTGCTTGATGAGGTCGGTAAAATGTTCGAGGGGATGATAGCCACCCGCCTCAAGGGACATTTGGGCACAATTGGCCCAGACCTGTCGGACGCTCAGTTCGGTTTTCGGCCTGAGCGTTCAACATTGGACGCCCTGTCGAGACTGAGGGATCAGGTGAGCGAGGCGATGGAAGCGGGGGATGGACTGTTGGCTGTGTCCTTCGACATAGCCAACGCTTTTAACTCCGTCCCCCACTCCACCATCCTAGAGGCACTCCGCTACCACGGAGTGCCTCCATACTTGCGGGCCCTCCTAGCCAGCTATCTAGAGGACCGTTCGGTCCTCGTTGCGGATAGGGCGGGTCAACTGCGACGGTATGGCGTCGAATCTGGTGTTCCACAGGGTTCCGTTCTAGGACCACTCCTGTGGAATATCGGGTTCGACTGGCTACTGCGGGGAAATCTTCCCCGAGGCACGTCAGTCGTCTGCTATGCAGATGACACTCTCCTGACTGCTCGGGGGAGTAATTTCGAGACGGCAGCCAGCCTGGCCTCAGCGGGAGGATCCTTGCTCGCTGACAGGATCTCACGCCTTGGACTGACGGTGGCGTTGCACAAGACCGAAGCCGTCTACTTCCATCGGCCTCGGCATCGCCAGCCGCCGGACGCTCATATTTATGTGGGGGGCGTCCGGATCGGGGTGCAGGCCCAGATGAACTATCTGGGCCTGACGCTCGACAGCAGGTGGCGATTCGGCCCTCATTTCAGCGGGCTGTCGACGCGCCTGCTGAAGACCGCGGGGGCTCTCTCCTGGCTCCTCCCAAACATCGGGGGACCTGGGAATCGATGCCGGCAACTATATGCCGGCATCTTGAAGAGTATGGCCCTTTACGGGGCCCCAATCTGGGCGGACTCCCTTCATAGGAGGGAAAACGCAGCAGCGTTCCGGAGGCCCCAAAGGGCTATTGCGCAGCGGGCGGCGAGGGCTTACCGCACGGTAAGCCTCGCGGCAGCGTGCGCTCTGGCGGGCACCCCTCCTTGGGAGCTCGAGGCGTGGGTGCTCGCCAGAGTCTACGAGTGGAGAGGGGAGCAGCGGGTGCTTGGCCAGCGCCCCAACGCCGCTGAGAGGGGAGCCGTTCGTGAGGAGGCGAGGGCCGCAGTCGTCCAACATTGGACAGAGGACCTCGCCACCGCAACGTTCGGCCGAAGAACGCTTGACGCGATCGGGCCCGTCCTCAAGGATTGGCTCGGTCGGTCATTTGGCTCCCTCTCCTTCCGTCTGGTCCAGGTGCTATCCGGGCATGGCTGCTTCGGGTCGTACCTGCACCGGATCGGGAGGGAAGAGTCTCCGTCGTGCCACCAGTGCGGAGCTGAAGTGGACACCCCAGAGCACACCATGGAGGTGTGCCCATCGTGGGCCGTGCCCCGTCGTGCACTGGTGGCAGTGATTGGCAGCGACCTCTCGCTCCCTCGTGTGGTCACCGCCATGCTGGGGAGTGAGGAGGCGTGGACTGCAGTTGCCTCCTTCTGCGAGGACGTAATGTCACAGAAGGAGGCGGCGGAGCGGCAGCGCGAGGACGATCCCTCAGCGCCAGCGCTCCGTAGAAGGAGAAGGGGCGGAAGGCGGCGCACACAGCGTCCATCTTCACCCGCCCCTGCGACGGCCATGGATGGCCGTGCGCTCCGGCCACAACAGAGCCCCCCCCCACCTGGGGGGGCGTGAGGGGTCCGCCAGAAGGTGGGCAATCGTCAGCAGGGGGCTGGACGCAAACAGGATTCCCAGCCCCCTGCCAGTCAGGCGAGGTCGGAGCGCCACTGGGTTATTTTAGTGGGTATACCGGGAATCCTTTTCCCGGGGAGTCCCACATACCCCTCTCCGTCTTCAACGGAGAGGGGATGCGTAAAGCATTTTTTCCCAGTGCGCACAAAAAAAAAAAAAAAAAAAAAAAAAAAAAAAAAAGGTTTTCGCTAGTACGCATTTAAAAGAAACGAATATTTTCAAATTACTACGCGTTATTTTTTATTTTTGATATAACATATCCCCCAACATTGTATCTGTATCCTGTCGTATGTGGTTTCATCATCAACATCCCAACGTGGGTTAATGGGAGCAATGAAAGGGCGATCCTATCCAGACTGTTAAAACATTCAAAAGGAAACGAAAAAGAAACGTCGAAACAGTGAACCTACTCTCTAACATACCGAACTCGTGGTGCACTCGCAAGTCGCGGGTGTTACTTAGTCCATTAATATGCTTTTTATTTATCTAGTTCTATGACAACGTATTTAGGAAAACTTTAATTTCAATAAAAAGAAACGTTTTTCAGCGTTTTAGACATTATTGGAGTTTCTATTCTAAAATAATAATGAAACCTCGTTTTTTGATTTGAGTTATGTCGATAAAACATTTAGAATAAATTAACTTTAAATGACAAATTTTAGCTCAGGAAATCACAACAGTTAAATATTTATACAATTTACTCATGATTTTATTACTCAGACAAGTTTTTTTAAGCATTTTATAATATTTTTCACAAAATTATTCCTTAAGGTAAATATAGAATCTTATATGATTGATGACGGAGAGAATGAATGATATAGGAAATGACGGAAAGAATGATATTTAAAACTGTGATAATTTTCAGTAGCTAAGAAGTCAAAAAAATGAATGATATTATATACTTATAGACAACATAGTATCATATGAATTATTTCTATTTTTTATATTTCACAGAGACATGCGTGCATCCCGTCCAGTTCTTCAACTATACCGCGTTGGATCATCCGATCCTTATTCTTTAGAGACATTCCCGGTGAGAAGTGTACGTGCTGGGATATCTAGTAGTAGCAGCAGTTCCATCACCCGGGAAGCCTCCTGCACAAGTGACTCGTGTCACTCGTGCTACACCATTAACTCTGCCGGAGGAAAAACTGGCGACACTTGCAGCACCGACACGAGACGTTCACCACAGCTGCCGCTCGTCACCAGCAAATACTCCAAAAGACATTGTTACATCGGTTGCATGGCGAAACTCATTGATTCTTTTTTGAATAATTACACGTAACTATAACTATACATCCTTGTTTCATTGCTGGATCTTTCACAAGTCTTTGAATGATCTTACATATTGTTAAATTGAATTTATTGTTTTCATCCAAATTAGGATCGAAATTAAAACTACATAAATTATTTACTAATCATTTATTTTATGTAAATTCCGCTATAATACATATTTACAAAAGTAAAAACGAATGGTGATTGTCACATTATATAAAAGCTTGAGCAAGACGGTTCTACCGCCTCCAACCTACAATAGGTACTTACACTAGCTGAGACGAGCCCGCGGCGCTTTACACGAAAATGATCACAGCATGATTCATATAGACCGACCAGCTTAACTAGAACCCTATGTGAAGTTATAATTAGTCTGGTCGATGTTCACATACGATTATTACCTTTCTATACGGAATTAGGACGACAAGAAATAAGAAATTAAATAAAATTATTCGTATTGTTTAGGGCAGCTTCGTCGGTTCATCGAATCTTAATTAATTACATTTTTAATCTATAGCTATACAACAGTATTTGATGTTCCGTCTGTGATGGTGTCCGGGGACTTCAATAAATACAGGTCAATTTGCTTCGACCACACTCACTGGACGACCACAATATACTGTGATAAAGCTACTAATAGTTAACCCTTTCCCGCGATCTATACCTAGTTTTGCTACCGCTACATTTGAGCATTTATAAAACTATGAAATGTCAAGTACATATCTATATGTTTTCAAGGTAATGAAAGAAAAAAAAACGGTTATTTATGAAAGCTAAAGCAAAATAATAAATAGTTAATGAGTTTTAAATAAATATGAATATGCTTTCATTTGAACATGATAATATTTCATGAGGCACAAACGTCGCCGATGATAAACAATGTAATCAACTATCAAGGAATCACATAATTTATCTAAAAATTGACAAAGAATAGTAGGAGCATCGCGACACTTGTACACCATGTGTTAATGATTATATTGCGGCTACAGGACATTTAGCTTTTAATGTTTACAACAGCAACGACAGAAAGCACCCGATCAGGGTTATTAATATATATTTTCGTGTTCAGTCAAATAGTTTTAGTGTCCGCCGCGGTAATATTCTAAAGTCGATCGGCCCTTCGAGTCGGGGTTGGCATCGGGTCAAGAGGAAGTATTGTTACGGTAGCGACGCCAGCCGCGAGGCGAGTCAGGTCGATCGGAGACACTCGTTATTAAACTAATCGCGAAACGACTTAGATGATGGATGTGATGAGTCGCGCCTTGAAGTTGACTATCCTCTCGGAGGTCTGCGCGATGCGGAGGATGAGGTCCTGGATGAGGTTGGCGATGCCTCGGTTGGCGATGATGAACAGCCTCGTGATGGGTCCGGGGACGCCCTCCGTCAGGTTGTCTCCTTTACCGGCGCCAGCGTCCTCTCCTTCCGCGGCGCCCGCGTCCCCTGACGACCCACTAGACGATGACCCGGCCACCAGCTGTATGCGACAAGAAAGGTTGCTGTCATACTCATATACAAATGATGATGAATTGTCTCCACTACACCATACAACAACATACGATGATATAAAATATTAAAATGTTCAAAAGCATACATACCCGAATATTGTTACTTAGAGCGACTATACCTATACTACGAACATGTTATATATTTCTATAATAGTCTTTAAAATGATGAAATAAATTTATGGTGTTAGTACAAAAAGCGGAAAATGTTAAAATAGAAACTACAATACACAAGCAGGATATTGGACTCCAAAATCAAAGCTCCACCAGCAGCAACTCGACGCTTCGGCGACTCGAGAGCTATACAAACATATAACTACAGGACAACACAACTACACAACTATACGACTACTCAACTATACGACTACTCAACTAAACGGCTACGCATTATACCAATACACAACTAAACGAATACGACTGCTTTATCTACTGTCGGAGAGCACGATCAGTGTACTGAATACTTGTGTAAGATCGTTGGGGTCGAGGGTGGCTGAGTGGGAGGCGGTGATGCCCAGGTTGAGGGAGTCCGTCCCCGAGAAGATACGGAAAGCGGACCCGGCAGCTCGAGCCACGGCCTCCGCTGGACGCTGGAACATTGGCGAGTACAAGACACCGGGACAACGACCACTCATACACCTAGTACTACACTTGACTCAGAGGTTTATAAGAAGATAAAGAATACAGAGACAGTAGGAAGAGCGAGCGAGACAGCTTCATCGCATGCTAAGTACTTTTTAGATATGTAATACATACTCTCACGATGTCAAATAAGAAGTTGCCGGAGCCGCCTCCTCCTGATGAACTCGAACCTCCAAAGTTAAGGAATCTGAAATTTATAATAAAAATTATGTTAGTTCATATTGCAGTTGGAGTATGAAATTGCCATAAAGAAAAAATAAGAAAGTAAAAAAAACATTAAACAAATATTGAATAAAAATATTTGACATTAATGTCCATTTTAAATTATTACAAATAATATTTTTGTTCCTTTAAAACACAGATCGCAATTCTTTCAAGACGGAGTGGACTAAGAAAGGCGGAAAATAATGTGTGATACCAAGAAGTGTAATTAATTATATTATTCTTTGGAGGTTTAGAAAAAGCGGTAACAATCGATTGCAACTTGAAAAGATCACAAAAACGATCATGAGTCTCGCTCTCGATGTATTGTTCGCCAATGTCGCGTTGCGGTTACATTGTCGGTGAAGGGGAGACAGATATGCAATACTACTCGGCTGGGAAATTAAAACAATTATTGACAGAAAATTATCAGAGCTATAACGTGTGAACTGATGTAAACCTCTCAACATGAACAGTTCATGAAGCGATAGGATCTTATATCAATAAGTAAAATATCTGGTTACCGAGCTTTGCTTAGCATTTAGGAATTTATAGTATTTATTTTGTTTTTTTTTTTATTTTATTTTTAAGTGAACACATTAAGTAGACACGAAACAATATAATTCAACACTCAATGACTTCCTGTTACTTAGCAACGCCATCTCATGTTGTGTCGTTTAAAAGCAATTAGCAAAAAGTAGTATTACTATTCGCCAATAGATGTCAGGAAGAGTCATATTTTAAACGCCTCTTTTTTGTTATTTTTTTTCATAAAACAACGTTTTCTAAAAATGATTACTAGCTAGATCGATTTATCGCCCCTGAAACCCCCTATATGCTAAATTTCATGAAAATCGTTCCAGCCGATTCCAAGATTTTAATTATATCTTTATATTTCAATTCTTGAATTGCTCATTTAAATATATATGTTTCACCTTTTATTTCTATTTTCTTCGCTGTCGTCAGCATCATCTAGAGAAATCTCATCGATGGTGGCCGAGTTGGTCTGCGCCGCGGTCTGCTGGTCGTCGCTGGGGGCCGCTTGGTTGTCTCCGAAAGCGACTCGAACCTCGGCCTGCTGGGACTCGGCCCCGGAGAGCAGCTGGTTTTCTTCAACGATGGCATTCTGTAAAGTATTTCTGAGTAAAAGCCTCGTCCTCGACGGTACACAATGATCATGGGATGGGGTCGCGTGATCGTAATGAGTGACGATGACCATGACGTGACGATGGCGATGGAGGCGTGCGGTCTGCGCGCGCCAGCTCTGCGGTCCTGTGGCAGGCTGATGTGCCGATAATGCGACTCTCATACCGGCAGCAGGAACAACGCGCGCCTCCTCCTCCCCGGCGCGCTCGTGCTGCTGCTGCTGCTGCTGGTGGGAGAGGCCGCCGGCTCGTCGTCGTCATCATCCTCGTCGGAGTCATTCAGCTCGACGGTTCCTCCGCCACTATTGGTGTTCCCTCCGTTACGGTTCCCTAGGAAGGCGCGGAGGAACACGGGCCCGAATACTTTGAGCACCGCGCTGGTGATATCCTGTACCTTCTTTTCGATTATCTAGAACATAAGCCGCCCTTAGCAAACCGTTAACACCGTGCTGCAAAGCTTCTACAGCGAGTAAGCTCCTCATGAGACCGGTTTAGTTTTCAAAGCGGTTAATATTACTATGAAGTAAGGACAGGTTGGTTAATATAGATCGTAACGTACAGAAGGTTCTACTTGCGTCAATGTCAGGGGTTATTAAAGTTACGTTACTATGAAGGATTTATTAATTTGGCATTGAAATTGCATTCTCATAAAATCTAAAAGCACTACTGATTACGACTTGTTTATTGAAACAATAAATTGGTACTTACTTTCAATAAAACAAAAATGTATTCAGATACATATTCTTATAAAATATTATGTGACATCAAAACATTATAAATAATAATTAATTAGTAAAGTTTAACAATAACCTTTAACTACATTATGTTCAAATAACTCTCTTGAACTACAGTACACAGTGTCGTGATACCTGAGTCAATGATGGGAACAGTTGTCTGAGGATGCCGATCGTTCGCTTGTTGCGTTCACTCAGCTCAGACCCGGGAGCGCCGAGGTTGAGGGTCGAGAGAGTCTCCTGACAGAAACAAGAACGTTACTCAATATATTTTGATAAGGGAGTTTAATGGACCATCTAGTTAAGGGATGGGGCCAACAAAGAGCTGAACGTAAGCCGTTCTTTGTATATTTACAACACCGACCAAGCTGTAAAAAGCTCATTAAAATTGAGTTAGTAATCTCATTCACAAATCACTCTCTAGTAACGTCAACTGCATGAGACGTTACGAACCATACCAACCTTAGTATATACAGACTAAGGGCACACTCAACTTATGTGTGACTAACCACTTCTCATTAGGGATGTGGAAATTCTTTTTATGCCAATTCGTAGTTTGTGTAATTGTGGATAAAGTCTTTTTGTCTGTTACACAACTCACAAGGGATTACAAAATTGAAAAACAATTACGTAGATTGTTTTGAAATTGGTGGAGACGCGACCCGTTCCCATGACGAGAAACGTCTTCTGCTTCTAATTATTTTAACATTAATGGTTAAATATAGTTGCACGCGAAATAATAATTAGCTGCGGCGTTACATCTCCTATGACCATGGAACGTTCAAGATATTATTGAAGATATTGTTTAAAAATAAAATAGAAACTTCTGAGGCGAAGTTCAAAGAATCGCTGCTGGGTTTTATAAACGGCGCTAGACTGGAAGACATCGGTAGTGGGAAGAACTGTAGCACATATAATATGTATAACATATGTATGTTATGTACATATAGTCAAGAGACATATATTTAATTTACTATTCGCGTCGAATTAAAAGTGACTAGGTTATTATAAACATAATTTAATATGTTATTATCGCTCTAAGTACGATGTTCACAGTCTGAGTTAGCTACAATTAGGGTCAGAGACAGAACAAAGGGGAAAAAATATGCTAATGGTAATTATTTCTCGCGGCCATATTGTTTGCAGCGTTGAGTGAGTAAGGAGGGCGGCTGTTACCCAGACTCACACGGCCGTCTGGACCGACTACGTGACGCGAGGTATTAGTTTACAGACTTTAAGCTCCTTATAACATATAATGAGATGTAAGACTTTCGCGAGTATTCATTTAAATGAAACTAATACATATTTTCGGATTTCCTACGCTTTTTTTAGTTTGACTATAAACTAGATACTACTCCCGATGTTTCGGCTACTTTACAGCAACCATGAGATGTGAGTGTCTGTCCTGTCAGTCGGTTTTGTTATTTTATCACCTACCGACATCGATTTATTAGTTTCATGTATCTTATAAATATTAGTTTCATGTTTCTTATAACATAGTTTTTTTTAATGTATTTCATTTTGTATATTAATTCATGTAAGATGTCCACCAACCTGTGCGCTGGCCGCTGGTGCGATGATTTCAATGATCTCTGGTCGGTTGTCGTCGGCGGGCGCGGGGTTCGCCTCGGGCTGCGCCGCGGGTTCGGGAGCAGGAGCGGCCTGAGCTAGCGCCAGTAAGGCGACCATGTATATAACACTCTTCATACTTCTTCCTTGTCTTATCTTCTCTTGATAACAGTCAACTGGAATTTTGATAAATCTTTAAAAATTACAGATCATACATTCTGAAATTTAGAATAGGACGCTTGAAACGAATACCAACACTTTAAATTTGAGTTGAAGCGCCTAAATAGCTTTAATAGTTTTAATATCTATTGAAGGTAAATATTACACAACTTTTAATCACAACTTTTTTTCAAACGAATAAGATTAATATAGAAGAATGAAAATAATTATTTGTTAAATAATAAAAGTTCTCTTAATGAGTTTAATTCAATGTATAACGTTACCCTCACAGTATATTATATTGTTGCTATCGAAAGCAAAATATTAAGTATTGTGACTTTGAACTCATTTTAAAGGGAAAGTGTAGCGGACAACCTTCAGCTCGGTTTACGTTTAAGTGACCAGTTTTATTTTTATTATTATAAGAAATAATTTAATTTTAAATATCAAGAAACATTGATAGTTCAAGGAAGTTAGGACACGTACAGGCGTGAAGTAACGAACACAATTACAATGTTAACACTTACTTGAACATTGAAACGAGTGTGTGGAAATAATGAAGACAATAAAAAGTAACTTTAAAATGTAACTTTCATGAAACTATTTGTTATCTTATCATCTGTATTAAACATTAGAGCAAGGTTTATTATAATTTGTAACAAATATGCTAATAAGATATATTTAATACGTTTATGTTATGCGAGGTCGTGTTGTTTCTGTCAATGTGGTGGTTGCGTTAACTTCGAAGCATTAAACACTTGTGCAACCATTAATTATTATGTTAATTTAATAGGCCATCAGCTGTAAGACGCCGAGACTTGTAACATTTGACCTTTTCATGATAAATGTATATGAATATACCAATAAAATATTAAGAATATATATTCTTTGATTTCAGTTAAACACTTAACATTTAAGACTAATTGTATGTGTGCGTTTACTTATATTGTCTTTAGTTTTCTCCATTCATTTACTATTATTAATATTCGCCTTATTACGCAAAGTTGCCCAAAAGCAGCACAACAGTCAAGTGATAGTATTTAAGAAAACTAAAAGTTTGTTTGTGTATTAAGAAATAAAATAACTGTTAAGAAAACATTTTAACAGCTTGTGTTACGACAACATTACAATATAATAATAAGGGAACAGAAACGAGGAGACTTTGAAAGACGATGAACATTGAAATGACGAAGTGGAATCAAATGAAACGTATTATTTACAGAACGAATTAGTAAATGATGCGAGACTGAGGTTGTATGTGTGTGGAAGGAAGGTTTGACTTGCTTATATTATAATCTAGAAGATAAAAGTCTGAATTTAAATATTTGAAATTACACAAAAGCATTAAGATATTAAAATAAAAATGTAGGTACAAATATATAAATTAGAAGCGACAATTATTTGAAGTGACACATCAATGTAACTGTGTCGTATATAATATATGTTATATATATTTGATTTTTGTCAATAGGAAATAATTAATAAACGATGCAAAAAAAAAAAATCTAAAAATATATATACATATTGGTAACAGAATTTTTTTATGACCGACCTTGGATTAAGGTCTATTGCATTAATAATGAATGTATATTTTTTTGTGTTTTATAAAACGATTAAGTAACAAAGTATTTCGTATTTGGTAAACGAAGGTGACAGTCATGTTATTTATCACGACCCTCCCCCTCCTCTCCCAAAATTTCCCTCTTTCTATATTAATTCTTTTTTTCATCTAATGTTTTGAGTTTATAACTACGGCGCCTTTTGATTGCTCTACTCAATTGGGGAAATATACATGTTATTACGGTAAGTTGATAAAGAGAATGAAAACAGCCTAAAAACATTTTACGTAAACAAAAGTAGAAGTCAAATATAAAATCAATCAATATAAGTAGTCATCTCTTGAAGTTATCAACAATGTTTCATCTACATATATTTTCGACACTATTTTAACATTTCAAAATAACATTTAATTTAAAAACAGAACTAAATGTCTCGGTAATATACATAATTACTTGGAGTAAAATATTAGCAAATATATAGCAGCGGTAATTATAAACCGTGTTTATGAACGAGCGGTGCCGCAAGACACTGACGAAACACAGTAAATCACTCAGATCAAAAGTTAGCCAACGACAAAGAAACTATGACTCAAATAACTTTTACGTGCCTGTACGTCTCATTTGGTTCTCGTATGTAACACATTCATACCTAGAGGCTGAATTAAGATTTATTTGTTGTTTTGACACAACAGTCGAGACGAATGAACTGAGTAACAGTTGTTTATATGACAACAAACGATACAAATATATCATCAATTTTTATTAGTATTACACAAAATGAAATCGAACAGAACATTTGGAGTGAAATCTAAAACCTCTGTATGGAAATTGTAGGTAACCTAATGTATATGAAAGGTAATATTCGTATCAGTCTCATATAGTTAGTTGGGCAACAGTCTCCCAGCTCAGCGAACATATCAACATATAAGTTTGTTTTGTAACATCTCGGTTCAGAGACCGAGGAATGTGGAGTGAGGAGCGAGTGGAGACGAACTGGTACGAGCTGGTGGACGTGAAGAAGGATCACGACTCACTCAGACGATCACCACAACACGTGAAGCTGTGTCGTTACAGAACATCATTAGAATGTTATCTCATCACTGGAAGGTGTCAAATATTATGTAAAACATGAAAACACCGACTGACGAAATAAGAGAAAGATGAAACACAGCGGGACCTAATTTTTTTTAAGTATATTCTAATAATATGTCATAATAAGAGAACGTTGTATAATCATAGTGCGGGGTGTCGCAAGTTTAAAACCGCTTATAAATTATATATCAGCTGGCGGTAGACAAAACGACTCGCTCGGGATTATGTAAAAACGATTTATGTAACACTAACATATAATTGGTCACAATCATATGAACGTGATGTCCAAGACACGCTCTTGACTGCTGTAATGAGAGCTTGTTTGTTAGTGACGGAGGTGACGGAAACGACGACACGAGTCGCCCGCCGGGACCCGGAACACACGCGGCGAGGCTGTACGGATGAGAGATAACGAACAAGGAAAGGAAATTATGTGTACAAAGAATACAAGTAGCTTTAAGATAACGAGCGGGTTACAGTAGCTGATTCGTTTAATTTAATATAGTAGTTATATTGTTCACGATGAACTCATTTCATCAAATTACCGGCGTCCCGTGTCCCGTGACCGTCCTCGTGTGTCACGTGGCGTGTCATTGTCTCGTCAACATATCATACAACATGATGGATCTCAGAACTCACCGAGTGTGACGCGACAGACAAAATAATTTCCTCAATATTATTATCATATTAAAACTAATAACGTTGTCTATTATAAAAAATACACGAACATGTATTACATGACCAATGTTTGTTACTAGATAATCTCTTTTAAGTTTTATTTAATAGTACTAGCTGTCAGTCTGTCTGTCACAGGTCCACCGTCATCATTGACAACTGTTTTAATTTATGCAATCTCTACGTCACTGTTACGAAAGTTTAATTTAAAAAATGGTGACCAGTTTTGTTCGAAGGTTACTTAACATTGAGAATAATTATACCTATATATATATACATAGTTGTTTGTTAATTTAGACCAGCCGTAATGTTCTCGAGCCAGCGGTCCGTGTGTCCGGTTGTATGTAAGCTCGTGTCGTAATCTACATCTAGGTAACGCGAGGATCGACTCTCCGCCTGATCTAATTGATAATGATTTGTATCTCATTACTGGCGAAGGATGCAATACACAATCCTCTTTAATTTGTAACACCGATGTTCATTCTTAGCGTTATATTATTTCTAAACGTCCTTAACAACGTATTAACGGTAAATCTAACTCAAATTGGTAAACAACTGAAACTCTGCTATATAATTCACATGATCTGTGTTCTATTAATATATATACAGGATGACTGGTGAATTACTATCGATACTTGAGGACATGATATTTGACGATCATATATGACAAAATAAAAATTAATATAACATAAATATTAATAAACTTCTAAGTAAAGTTAACCAAAAGTTATGTAATTAATTACGCATCGTGTGAACACCCTACAGATTAGGTATACACACACACACACACATACGCGTGAGGTGGCGTGGTGTTGTATCAGCACGCCGCCGCACACTTGGAACACTTGGAACGTGTCCACACTTTATTTATTTATACGGAAATTTGGTCAAAAATTAAGTACCTATTTTTTTTACATAATTCGAATGAGAATCATGTACCGAGTATTCTCCTTAAATATTGATAGTAATTCACCAGTCACCCTGTATATATATTTACTATCAATCTGTATCTCCGCATGTTCTGTCTTCTCTACGTGTTTAGGACTCCAACTTGTTTCTAGTACCTATTCACATTTCTCGACGAATCTTGACCGAGTTAAACATAACTCTCTGAAAGTTATTCGATCATTCAAAGATTTACATTATGTTTGGTTCATGTTTTATTACTAATAAGATTAATAAGATACATTTGTTCAGGAGTCTATCTTTGATCTGTGAATGTGTCGGCGCGTGTTCACAAATCACAAATAAATGTGTGTTACATTCATTATATACAATTATGAAGGATATATTATATACATTATTATAATAAAAGCCTCGTTATGTGACACACGGTCGTCACCAGCTTGTTGTGTGTGTGTGTGTGTGTGTGAGCTGCGTCCTAACAGATGATATCTGGAGATGAGATCCATTATGTATATATTCATTATTATATTAACCACATACAAGGTGTGCCCTGTCCTCTTAAGATGAACAATACAGTCGTTTACACATTGTAACACATGTATAGTACAATGTGCGGTTCAAATAATATGTTAAACATAGCGCGAGCAGTCAGCGAACTACACAGACATATAATAACAGAAAACATACAAAGATATTTAATATACGTTATTGATATCAGACGAAACTTGATGTATGATACTGTTAGCGTGACCACTGACGAATTAAACGAAATACATTCAATATGAGATACATGTGTTGTTAGAGTTTAAAAGATTATATGTCATTGGGGTTGTTGTGTGATATATTTTATTTGATTGTTTATTAATAATAATAAACAATAATAACCCGCTCTTATCATAATTAACTCGTTAATCAAATAATAATAAATCTTGAAATATATAAAGTACGGCGGTCTTTAAAAACAAATGAGGCCTGTGTCTACTACCATACGATGTGTTCTGATGGAGGATCCTGTGTTTGTAATGTATTATATAGTTACAGTGTGTTTATTGACACACAGATTCATATGTACCATCGAGATGTTTTTTAAAAATACTTTTGTAACTTTATGACAAGGAACTAACACATTTAAAGTAGGTATTCACTAAGAATTTGAAGATGTAACTTTTAAAATTATAGTTTAGACTAAAATAAATCTGTTTCTATACATTTTATGTTCCGTGTTTGTAATCAAACTAACTATAATATTATCTTTTGCCGAATACTATTCTAATAATCTCTTTCATGTCTGTAGTTCGTGAGCACATGTTCGTGTATCACCTCGTAAGGTCAATGTTTCTCGCCACCTTCGGACCGCGTGTGTTTTTTCGTCAGGTCAACTTTTATATTCGACCTCATTCAATATATATCAAAGCTCACCGACTGTTATTTCATCTGTTATTGATACAGCGCTCGCTCGGTCGAAGGCTGAGTCTCTGCTGTGTATCGTCATATTAAAGGTCACTCGAGCTGACTCTCTCGTGATCCAGTTTTTAAAGTCGACCGGAGGTTAAACCTTAACCGACTCACAGCCTTCCGTCCTTATATAATGAACTCATTAATGACACGTAACTTTTTATTTCGGGCGTTAAATGTTTCAGACTTGAGAACAGAAATGTCTCCGATGTTAAAACAGAACATGAAGGACGATGAAGGATGTTGTTGTAACACGTTACTAGTACTGTACCGAGGCGAGGCTGTCGTATTATTAACAGGTTGTATCTGTAACGTCAACATCCGTCTATTAAATATAATATTACATTTTTATCATTTCTCAGCGACTTGTATTTCGTTATGGAGCAGGAGCGGCTGAGAGTCACTTTAAACACTCTAGATTTAATGTTTCCGTCGTTTAACATATTTGTTGTAGTTAACTATTGAGAAACATAAGTTAATTTTTTATTTTTATAAGGTTTCGTAAAAGATACATTGAGATGTTCGTGAGTGTCGTGTGATAAACGAGTCCTACACTCTATATGTTGATTAACACGTTTAATTTAACTGATATTTTTATATTTGAGGAAACTCTTTGGAATTCTTTTTACCAGAATATAAAATAATTTATCAGAATAGACGCAGATTGAAAGACTATAAAATGTTTCTTAAGAAACAGATTTAAAAATATTATGAAAAAAATATATGTTACAGAACTAAAGATAATTAATAATATATACGAGAGTTTGAAACATTACAAAGAAAAATGTGCGTCGAGCGTTACACAACATGAGTTGAGAAATATAGAGCTAGGGACATGACGAGCGGGCCTTACTACACGCACTGAACATATATTGTTATCAATTAACACAAGGCGAGGAGCGCGTTCATGTTTTATATATGAACGTAGCTGACTACTACGACGCTACGGGCCGCTCACGTGACGTTATATTAATATTTGTGGTAATGAACTCACTCACGACCGCTTCAGGTCGATCTTTATATTGAACAGTCTTCATACAATACATTTGGTTTATAATGTACACAGAGCGGTAGACTAACTATGTACTACATTTTAACAATAATAACTTGCCAACATGATTTATAATAATGAGGGTTTTGTTATGTTTAGTACTATTGCAAAACGATTTAGAAAACCATCAAAAACTTCATGGCGTTACGTTAAACTTTTACGGGTTTGAATCATTTTAAAATCTGTTGGACGATGACAAGCTTTAACGATTCACGAGAATTATATTGGAACGACGTTCGATGGGTTCGATGGTTATGATTTATGTTTTTATGAATGAACTAATGGTCCCGAGAAGAATACAACTTTGTTCCATTAATTTGGAGCTGGGGTTGTAATTACAGCAGGCAGGTTTCGATATATAGATGACGTGTAACTGTAAGTCAGTCAGTGAGAGTTACTGTGACACTCGTCGTGGAGACTCAGACTCAGACTCACCGCTCGTCACAGACCACCGACCACAGACCGATACTGATCGTTATACGGATCGTTGACTCTGTCATGAAGTTAAACGTCTCGTTATGAACATGAAGTCACAGAAGTCAGAACTAAACACACGCTGTGTTTATATAAAGAAGGATAACATCCTGTAAGTGTGTGAGGCCTCAATATATACATTTTAACTAAATTCATCAATATGTGTACGAAGTATTATCGGTTTAAAATATAACAAGTACAACAATCACGTTACCAATCATTATGATAATTGTTGAGGACCTGTTCTACTCGTGTGTTACAATATAATGAGGGCACACACTTGAACATTAATACTGGACTGTGATACTTGGTGACCGAGCATGAGTTGTGTAACGAAAAACTTTATTTTGGTCCCGATACAACTAGCCGGACGGTAAAACAATTAATTTTTAAATCAATCGCCTTTCGAAAATATATTATGTACAAAGTAGAGTAATTCAGAATATTACATAACTTGCTCCAAACGACAAGTATCATATATTCTGAGAGTAATTGACGACAAAAACACCTGACACTAATGAAAGAGCGTGGTGAGGGTTGTTACCTGTGTGCTGATCACGAAACCTTCTGAAGGTGTTTTTATACTAATAGTATTTTAAAGTTACTATTTAATTTAGGTTTAAAAGAACCCGTCCTTTTTATTTTGAATATAATCCAAAACTTCATTCTAATCAGTCGAGTTAGTCTCTCATGTTGTTCTAACGCACGTTAGTACATATATGTACATCACACATACTGTATACATACATATTATACTTTCACTGTTGCAATAAATAAATGTAAATTATGATCGACTCGCGCCTGGTGCATGTGCGTGTGCGTGTGTGTGTGTGTGTGTGTGTGTGTGTGTGTGTGTGTGTGTGTGTGTGTGTGTGTGTGTGTGTGTGTGTGTGTGTGTGTGTGTGTGTGTGTGTGTGTGTGTGTGTGTGTGTGTGTGTGTGTGTGTGTGTCGTTACCTGTTCCTGTATGTGTATCAGTGGGACGCGTTAAGCACTTTCTATTAATTGTGTAATGTTTATTTTCATTATTTAGATATAAAATATATTTATTATTGATCACAGCGGTGTCGGTGGCTCGCTCCTCGACCGCGGAAGCTGTGCGTGTCTCGCGCGGACCGTTTATGTAACACACCTCACTGTTATGAATATTGAAACATTTCCTTATAATATGTTTGATTATATTACTTTTAAGATTTACGAAGTACGACCATCATGTATGACGAAATTATCTTGTATACGTGCAGATATATATTATTATATTTTTCTTCTTTAATATTATAAAGGACGATGTTTTATTTTTGTTGTCATATATATTATGAGGTCGTGAACTGTATCTGTTGCTTGTGTTACGTTAATACAGTTGTTGTAATGTATGTGTGTTTGTGTGTCAGTGGTGAGCGCCGGCCGCGGGGAAAGTGAACTGACGTAACGATGACGTAACGACCGACGACCAACGACCGCTCATAGGAGCAGACCTACTGGGTCAGTGATACGAGGACTAACGAAAATAAAAAGGGATCAGCATCCTTAAGAGATACTCGGGTAATTAACATATTGAATACTATGTGCATTACTCTAACATTATTTTAAACTATAACAGAGAAACTTGAAGATAATTTATAAAAGTATCTGTCTTGTATGTATTCTTCAACATATAAAGAGTACGGTCGGTCCGTCTCGTCTCCGCTCCTCATTATATCAATTGTTATAAACAGTCGTCATTTAGTTTTCATATGTACATCGCTCACGGTCGTATTCTTTATTAGTACCATGCAACTCGTTTTCCTGTTCGTGTTAAATTAACAAACAATGTAGAGGACTGTTAACGTCACTATCATACAAACACAACACCGATGACATTCATTATATATACATATATTACAATAACTCGCGACCCGTCCGTCCGTCCGTCCGTCCGGCCTACTCCGCTCCTCACAATCACCTCCATACTTCCCATTGTAAGCGACGTTCAAGTTGAAGATCAAACAGTCAACAATGTCAGTGCGAATGTCAGTGATGTTCGTATTTTAATTCACAAATATTATAAATACACGAACTAATGACAGTCGGAGGCAGGCGGTGTCTGTATGTACAGTAGTAGTATGTGCTTTATATTTATCGTCGGCACGTTAAGTGTTATAATGAACATGTTCAATATTAGTCGTGTCGTCTCCCGCACTACACCAGGACGTACAGGTCCTTATAAACTGAGCTTGTGTCTGTATGTTAGGTCAGGTCGGAGGTGAGGTGAGGTCGGGTGACGGATCACAGTGAGGTCGCCGGTGAGTGTGAGGCGTTACAACACACAGGTTAATACAACATGAACGGGTCTCCGTTTACTGTTACTATTGTTATGTAACGACCGACTCCGGGAGCTGGGACTTATACTACAAACAAACGAGACGTTACTCGTATATTTAAGCACGTAATGCTGAATGTCATTAAGTTTACGATCAAATTAACTTTTATATAATATCTATTAATGTCGTTATCATTGTGGTGGAGTGACTCATTAGAAAAGAAATTAATTTCACTTTAATTAAACAAATAGATGACCGTTACATTATAATATTGTGACTATTTTAGGAAATCTCTGCAGAAGGTTTTCTGTCCGCGGTATAAGCTTAACTTTTAACATTAGAAAGTAATGGTTTTAAATATCTTTATTTTAAAAGAATGTCTAAAGTTTAACGTTGTGTAATGAATTAATAAACCTCGAATGTCTATTTTAACCGTTACATAAATAAATAAAGTGTCTAATTATGGTATATTATGTTCTTTAAATGGTCGTCGAAGAATTGAAAAGAAATATTTTTTCTAAAAGACTCGTCTATATATAATAGATAAATACTTTTGTATTAACTAAAATTTATTAATATTTTGTATATACAATTTTATATATTTCAATATTTATTCATTCAATGTATAAATATGAACCATCTATTGAATAAACTCGTCACGACTCAAAGTTTCTTTAACTTTGTTAAACATTTATATTTTTTAAATAGGAAAATACTTTTTTATTAAAATGATTGACGATCAATCGACAAATCGTCAGTTTGTTGATAACTGTTGGTTCAATATTAACACGAGGAGTCATCGAACGACCCGCCAGTGAGGAGGTTCACGACCGACATCAACACACACAACGAAACATATAGCACAATACTCATTAGTTGATAATTAAAACAGTGTTAGAACAAATCGTACCTTCATATGATCTATGAATGGTAAATACTTGAAGGACTGACGTACACATCTTAAACTACGGATGGATGTTTAACGAGAGGTTCAGAATAAGGAAAACAATAAAATACAAGCAAATACGAGCGTCACCGCTTTATAAATAATGATGAGAGTTGATGTGTCGTGTGTGAGGTTCTGGGAGTTCGTATTAATATGCGGGAGTCGGCGCCCATTGAGCCGGATTTAAATTCTTACTTAAACCTCAATTACTGAAGTGATTATGTCACATACAAATTAAACTACAGTCTATTTCCTGCGCTGAATGACACCACTAATACATTTTCTAGTGCCTTTTACTTGTCGGCCAGCTGACCAGCCAACCGTTCAGATACTTAACAAACTCGATTTATTTCTATTGGAGAGATATTCTGTACTCTAGAAACGGTCACAGACATTAAATGGTTAATGTGAATTAATTTAAAGCATCTGTTGTTAGTGTGAGCGAGTGACACCGAGGGAGCTGTACTAGCCATCATCGAGTGTAGTGTCGCAAGGAATCACTATGCTGGTCGCGTGTCTTTGCATAATAATGGTCGACGAAAAAGACTCATAGCTAGATTTCACATTTAGAGGTTACAGCGACTAAAGAGAACATTGAGGATATGAAGAGGACCCTCGCTGTGTGTGTTACATAGATGAACATGAACACCGACCGCTATATACAAGCACACGTTAACAACACACACTACTCGTAGTTGGTGGAAGTATCGCGGTCGTTTCTTTAAACGAAATGTAATCGAATAACAAACTCGCATAGAAAGGCTGTTACATAAGACGGAACACAGCGCGCGGGCGAGACTGCTGCCTTCAATGTAAACAATCATCAATACAAATATATCGATACCGACTGTTTTATTTATACGACAATTAACATCCATCTTTATATATCTGATCTTGTGTGAGATAATATTTCACGTATCTTGAACATCCTTCATCTGTCAAACTCATTGATGTGTATCAAGTAGTCCGTGTGTCAGACGGAGTCGGTCCTACTGTATATATATAGACTTTATATAGTTTAATTTTGTTTCAATGATAACTCAATCTCTGTTTGTTGCGCGAGTGTCGCGACGGCCTTGACCGAGCGTTGCTTTAAATCGTTATGATTTGTTTCGGCTTCAATTGATTTATTGAAAGCTGATATCTAATTTAACTTCGAAATAAACCGCGAAAATTATTGAGCGTGGCTTAACTATTGACAAATAAGCAGCGGTCGCTTACAGTCTTATAAACATATTGAAACAGATTGTTCAAAAAGATAAGTTAAGTTATTGAATACTTGAATTACTTATAAGAATAATGATATTTCATGGGATCTGATTCACATATAAGACCACGCGGATCAGACCTCAGGATGACTAATTTCACTCTTATAATCACAAAGTTAATTACAAATCAAATTAATATTATATGATAATGGATACTGTTATCGATAGTGACGAAGCTTTATCAACTCAACAGTGTTTCTGTGTGAAAACATTTAAAGAAAACGCTATAAATGTGATAAGTGTATAGATTATTAGTGCAATATCAGGCTCACGTGAAAGGGTCCGCCGACCTTCGGGCGATTAAATCGGAAACACTTCACCGGCGCCGATAGCAAAATTAGTTCACAAAGTACATATAAAACACAAAAATACGGTGTCGGTGTGAGTTCCGCCGAGGCTCTAACTAGTATTCCTTCAAATTAATATTATAATGAGTGTTGAAACGCGATGTGGAGCAACGGTTTTGATTCGGCGATAGAGCATCGGCGGTTATGCAAGCACGGGTACGTACCGGTGGTGCGCGTGCGGCTGGAGGGCACGGAGCACACGTGCGGTCGGGGCGGGCGCGAGACGCGGAGTGCGGCACTCTCACACCACCCTCGTGCTGATGGTCGTGTGCGCCCCCCCTCCCCCGGCCCCTCCTCCCACACCTCAGCCCCCTCCACCACCGTCAACAGCACCACTGACACCGCTCTCTGCTCTCCTCTCAGCCGCAGAGCCGAAAAACTTCCGTTACCTGAAAAGTGATAAGACTCATGTCCAATAATGTCTTCATTGTCATTTGCGAACTTACAAAACCTTTTTGATGCGCTGAGTCTACTGTCAGTTGGAGTACACGCTTCAGTTACTGGTATTGTATCAGTTGATTAGATATGATCAAACAACATGTTGATGAAAAACTAATTTAGCTTATTATGTAACTCCCGTCATTCCTGTTTCTTTCATCATGTCCATAACATCAGGAGCCATTGATTGTAATTGATATTACACAAAGTTTTTTAATAAAAAGTCGCTCAAAATTCGTGCAACATATCCTTATTTGTATATTAATTATGAGCGTGTAATCCTTGAAGGAATAATAATTACAAGATAGATACGCAACTATCTTTTAAATTATGACTTAGCTCTGTACATAACATATTTTATTTAATTTCTTTTTACTGCCGATTCAAAGGTTTTTTTGCATGCTGCTAAAAATACAGTCGAAGGGTTTTTTCAATTTCCTTTATGGATATGTATACTACTACTCAAGAATATTTTTTTGAAACTGAAAGTAACTTAAACAAGCTTTTAAGAAGAATTCTCAGTACTTTAGTTCTCATTTTTTATTTTTTATCTTGATATGTGTTTTTGTGAATGTCTTTACGGTTGATTTTTTTTCTGGTCCATAAGGAAATGTAAATGTTGTCTTCTTAAAGCCCTAAAAGAAAAAACCAAAGAAACAAATCATGAAAATATGTTTTCAAGCAGGAGACCAATAGCAATGTTTTGTTGGTTAGTTTGATGTTTTAGAGATCGTGTTCTATGAAATTGTTCTGTACTGTGTGTTGTTCTCGACGAAAATAGATGCACTGAAAGAATTTTTACTTTATCTTAAAAATCTACTGCTGATTCTTCATCTTACGTCTGATTAAACACAGAGATACAGCCTTTTGAATAGCGAGGACATGAAATAAGTTTATACACATACATATACCTACTCGTATAGGAAAACTGTTCTGGCGTCTTTGTATTTTATTTTGACTATATATTTGAGAGTCGACGTTGTTATAATAGTGTAATACATTGTTTCGGGTCGCCGGGTGTCAGTGGGTGTCAGTGGGTGTCAGCGGGTGTCACGCCGCGACCCGGGGTCTAGTATGAAGTAAACTCGTAATATCTCGGAGCACGACATTTGGGGGTCAAACAAAAAGGTTTCTCGGGTCGGGGTCGGGGACCGTGCGCTAATTGTAATCAATATTATTATTGTTTTCGTTTCTCCCAAACCTTGGCTTCGTTTTCTCGTTTACAAAAAACAAGCGATTATCATAAACGGATTTGTCACAGTCGCGTTGTGTGCGCGCGAGTTACCAGCTACCGCGGCCACCACGCGTGACACTCGCTACCTACAGTACAGTACAGTCTTAACAAACTAGATGAATATTAAACAGAAACTACATTATTACTTTATAACCAGATAGTTAGTAATGTTATTAAACCATGTAACTTCAAATATTAATATCAACAATATATGTAATTTGAGCAACTTATTTCTTATATTATTTTTATTTCTCGATTCACGATTAGTTTGATGACTGTAATAAAACTAAATGTTTAAATTACGATCCACTTACGATCTATTACACCGACTGACCTTACATCATGAATGTGGAGATGTTTCAGTCCTTACATTATAATATATATTTATTTATTCGTTCATGTGTATCACTACTACTGGGTGGTCGGTGAGGTCGGTGTCTGTATGAACCAGGAAGGAATCCTCCTTCTCCATAATTTGATAATAATTATATTCGACCACAGTGCCGAAGGTTGAACGGATGAATAAAAGTAAAGGGATCATAGAGTCTGTTACACGTTTAACTTGATTGTTGTATAAAAACAAGGAAAATATCAATAAAAATCTATATTTTTCTGATAAAAAAGCCAAAAAGTAATATAAGTAATGTAGCCGTTAAAAGAACAACCTTGAAAGTAAACAGTTTAATTTAATACAATAAATATAAATATATATTTAAAATGTTAACATCAATGAACACCCGCTGATATATGAACAACTTTAAACATTCAGAAGCTCGCCTTCAATGTCACTGACAGTTATATTGTAATTTAAATACATATATTAATATCATCAGAAGTTTCATTATCTTGAATCCGTTAATTACTATATTTTTAATACATAGTATCCACGACTATATATATGTATTTGTTAGTCTAACAACAACCCACTTATAATTTCAGTTGTCGGAACATCATGTAACAAATCTTCTAACAATAGTTTTATATTATTACCAGAAGACCCGGCGAACTTCGTATCGCCCTATAATCAAGAAATATCTGTTACGTTTTTTTTAATAAATAAATTTAGGCTATACCTTAGCCTCAGAATTATTAATACGTGTTGGTTATGCTATTATTAAGTAGTCGCTCATAATTGTAATAATAACAAATAATTTTCTTTAATAGACAAATAATTTTCAATAAAATAATATTGTGACTATAAATTGAGATGTAAGCTATCCTATCTTTCAAGTTGGATCAAAATGCACACGGAATGTAAATCAAATTTAAAATCGGTTTAGTCGTTTAGGAGTCCATCGCGGATAAACACGTGACACCAAATTTCTCTCAACACATCTGTTTGTATGTATGTATGTATGTATGTCCGTCCTCTCGAGTTCATCGACCCCCCAGTGATAGTACGTGTGTGACGTCACCACCCTCCTCGATGACGTAACACAGTTCAAGACAGTCATTACACTCACTCTTACGTACAAGTTACACGTTCACACTTTATACATTTCAACTAACACAGTAGCCTATCGTTTTCCTTCTCGTGATTTCCTTTATAAATATTAATGCATTGTAGATGTAGGTCACAGGTAAAAGTTGTTTATAATTTTGATTCATAAGGAGTTATTAATAGCTTTAAGAAAACCCAAATCCTACAAGCTGCAGTCTCCGTCGGTTTTCCCGGAACTAGTGGATCTAGAACCGGACCGAGCTCGTAACAGTTCATACTATAGATGCATTGAGTAATATTATAAGAGGCGGGACTTTTGTAATACAGAATACAGATACATTTGGGTGACGTTTGATTATTATAATGTATCGATGTCCTTGTATTAAAATAAATATTGAGTGTTTTTGATTGGACACGTTTATTTAAATGTATAGTGATAAGTGACGATACGTTTTTATTTATATACATTTTAAATAAAATTAGGGACAAGCAATTAACACGATGTTAATGTCATGTGTGAGGTGTGTTGAGCAACTTTCATATATTTTAATACAAACTGTAGGTTTTATTGTCAAGGACAGAGAATCAAAATGGAAAGTAAGAGACGTCACGATACAGGAGCAAAATAAAACAAGCGAACCTGGGATTGTAAAGAATATCATAACTATATATATACTCTTTATTGCACTGAATAATTAACAAAGGTTATTTTCTAAACATAATTATTGTGTACAAAGGCGGCTATTTGAAACATCTCGAAAAATAATATTTAAGAATAATAGTTATAAAACGGTAATTAGATAAACATAACGACATTTATTTTATAATAGTTTGTATTTAAAAAATTTGTCACCAAAAAAGTGTATAAAGGGGAATAGTATAAAGAAATATTCAATATCTTGTAGAAACAAATCTTCACATTATTAATCAATATACAGTCGAACAGTGGACAATCAAACTTTAATAGATTATAAACATAGTTAGTGATAACAAGCCTGGAGACACACAGCAGCCTCCTCACAACACATACATGACGAGTTTTACAACTATGAAACACGGCTTCTTACTGTGATAATACATGAGCTATGTACCTGTGTACCATACTATATATGTATATATGTATATGCCACAGTGGCGGGAATCGAATAATGACTTTGATAAGAATGTAAACATTATTTTGCTTTCCTCATTCCATAACATTATAAAATAAAAACATTTCTACAAATTTCCATAATGATTGTTTAACTTAAAAAATTATAAATCTAATTTTATTTACTTCCTTACTTTTTACGTTAAGTATGTCATTTGTTGAATTATATCTCCGGCTCGATGATCATCTTATATCATATTGAAGTCAAACTTTCCTTACAGAGGTCACAGTTAATATCAGAGATTATAAAATTATAAGTTTTAAGACAACTAATAGTCTATAACTCTCAACGAGCTAATACTACTAGGTAACTGTTACACAAGTATGTTGTGTGTGTGTGTGTGTGTGTGTGTGTGTGTGTGTGTGTGTGTGTGTGTGTGTGTGTGTGTGTGTGTGTAACGTTTCCAGTCACCTTCGTCCGAATAATATTTTGATTGATTTGTTTTTTATTACATCGGCTGCTCTTAACGCAACTATTTTTATTTTATGAAATAAATTTTAACAGCGGCTTTATTTCACGATCATAAAAATATATTAAACACTTAAATATATATTTCATGAATTAACTTTTAATATTATGCTACTCTTAATATTTATATGTAACTTGTATCACACTGCTCGTACATGTTCGTGTTAATGTGTTGTTGTATGGACGTCGTATCGTGAGCTTTAATATTTTTATTGGTATCACATTGAACTTTATAACGTCTTGAGTAATATACGAGCTATCAAAAAGTTTCTTAATTATACATCACACCTAGGAAATGTTGCAGTTTTTAATTAATTCGTAATAAATTATTATTTGTTTAATATAAATGTTACTGAGAGAAGCAAACAGTCACCTGTCCTTGGTTATTTTAGTATTTTTATGACTTATATGAAAGAAGACATCACACAGACAATTATAAACAATTGAGGATTAACTGGTCGTTTTATTCGATAAGAAAAATAATAAATCGTAATTCAACAAGCGACCATTAACATGTTAATACGTATATTATAGATTATATTACATATAGAATGATACACGATGACTTTGTTACTGAATCAAACCTTATTGTTTTATATAATAATTATAGTTTGAGAAACTAAACAACCAAATAAGAACAAATGTCGAAACAGAATTAGTCGTTCGAG